TAGGGGAACAAATACTGTAAAAACCATGGTAGAGTAAGAGACAAAAGAATATGGGAAAAGAGAGAGAGAGAGAGAGAACGAGGGGGTGGGAAGAAAAGAAAATAGAGAGAGCGAGAGAGAGAGAGCTAGAGAGCGAGAAACAAGCTAAACACATATACATAATCATGATTACATATCAAATTAAAAAATATACCATTGCCGTTACCATGAGAAAGAAAATGGCATTAGGATTACAAATATCTACAAAAAACTATGTATTGACATACCTTTTTTAATGGGAATCTCAGCCAACATAACACAGATCGACATAGTATATTGAAAGTCGATATTTACTTATTGTTTACTAAATATACATGAACTAGGAGGTTCAAATCAGTATTAAAAGACAATATTCAGACACTTAGACGTTAAATTGGAATCCTGCGTTCAAGTTTAACATATAATACGAGACAATCATAATCATAACTAGAGGGACTTGGTAACATTGTTCAGATGAGAGAAAAAGGTGCTAAGGTAGTGACTTCATTGCTAGATGTACAATCAAAGATAACCGAACAGTTTGAGTGAAAATAGACCATTATTAATGAAAATAAAAGGGGGAAACCCAACGATATTATTACAATTTAATTACATTTTAGGTGAATGTAAATCGGCTAAAAGCAATTCATTGGCTCTATATAATATTCCAGACATTAAAGTGTTGAAAGATGTTTTAAAGCCTGTAATATGTCCTATTTTCATGAAAAAACGGTTGGGAAAAATCAAAATAGTCGGGAGAATTTAGGGACACCTTTAAAGAAAACCATTAATATCTTTGCAGTTTGATTTTTTTCGGGAATTGTTGCATGTCAGAGGGTTAGTACAATAAAAGGAATGTTATAAGTAATATTTCATACAAAAATTACGCAGTTTGTTCATCAACCGGAATGTGAATATCGTGGTTCGCGGTTTGAATCCCGCTGTGGCACCAATGTCACTTTGGCAAAAGATTTATCTACAAACATTTACCACTCTCCACTCAGGTGTAATAAATGACTACTTGGTAGGAATTTATTCCCTTGAATGCTTCTAGCACCTGAGGGCAGCTTGGCTAGAGCCAGGATAACGATATTACTGGGATGGATAGGTGTGCAATAAAAATGTAGCCATTATAATAATGCTTTAATAAAAGGAACTTATTTATTAATCTACTGATTATACTACGAATGAAAATGAGAATCTCACATGTTATCAGAGTTAATACATATCATACATGTATGAGATCATGACATTGCAACAAACAAAATAAGTGCAGAATTAGCCCACAATCACACAAAAATCAAACTATTAAAGAAAAACCCGAGTGAGGACACGAAATTAATTAAATTGAGAACCTAAACAAATATGTAGCTAAAGAGGTGCTCCATATATAAAAAGACATTGACAAGAAGAAGTCCGGAAGTGCTCCGATTTATTTGGCCTGCAATGTAGACCTCACTTCCTTGCTTTTACAAAATATATTCAAATACATTCAAATGAAAGAGCAAGTACCCAATAGAAGAACAGAGGATGAAAGAACGGAGAAAGATGAAGAACCAAGGGTGAAAGGTGAACTAATGAAGAGGAAATGGGATTAGGGTGAGTCAGGGGTAGTCTGAATAATAATGAAGGATGAAGGAAAGAAACAGGAGCTGGGTGAAGGTGATGACAAGAAAATAGAAATGAGGAAAAGGCCATTAACAGCTGAATGAGAGAAAGATAATTTCAAAAACCAAGAACAACAAATTTAATCTATTACATAATTATGTTAGAAGTCAAAATGAGGTTATTCACTGCACATAATGATATAATCATAGTATTGAAATCACCAATGTCTATACCAAACTCACAAATTTAACAGATTTCAATGTTGGCTACGTAGATGTCTTCAATTGTAGGACAAGTTGTTTCATATAAGATAAACATATAACAAAATGTTTTCGTCATTTGTTTTATTATTGACAATTAAACAGAATCTACTAATCAATATGCACAAATACCAAATCTATTATATGAGCATTGCATTAAACAACTAAAACAAACTTGCGTACCGAATATAATACGGTGATAAAGAATATAAAATAAATTCACAAATACATGGACATCTCAAAGAAAAAATATTCACACTTAGAGAGGTCATGGAAATCACATCTAAAAAAAGACAATTGTATTATGGTCAAGCATAGTACTTTCTGAAATTCAGCATTTTGTTCTTCATGTCAAATTTCAGTGTATACACAGTTATATGAATTTAACACAAATCAACACCAATTAAAAAGTGAGTAACATATGCCTTAAGTGACATATTTATGTACATATACCCCCAGAATAAGTTGGGGAAAAAAAGACAAGTTGATGTAACAATATATAGCATAAAGGAGTCAAGAATAAACGAATGCTTTTGGAATATAGATTACTGCATCAAGAGATATATAAAACATCACATGCAATGGTAAAAAAGGCATTAAAGTCACATAACTACTGCAAAGTAATCATATACTTAACAGTTCCCAATACCAGTATAAGCTTTAAAAAAAAAGGGAAAGTCAAAAAACATATGCCATGATAATCTTCATATATATATATGTATATATATATATATATAAAATGAGGCACATAATCAATATGCAATACAGTTAGTACAGTAACACTTTCTAACATAGTATGGTATTACTTCAGAAAATGTGCCATGATAATCTTCTTATATATACATATATTATGAGGCACAAAGTCAATATACTTTAGAATTAGTACAGTAGGCCTAATACTTTCTAACGTAATATGGTATTACTTCAGAAAATATGCCATGATAATCTTCTTATATATATATACATATATAATGAGGCACAGAATCAATATACTTCACGGTTAGAACAGTAGGCCTAATACGTTCTAACGTAGTATGGTATTACTTTAGAAAAATATGCCATGGTAATCTTCTTATATATATATATATATATATATATACATATATAATGATGCACAGAATCAATATACTTTACTGTAAGTACAGTCGGCCCAATACTTTCTAACGTAACATGGTATTACTTCAGAAAATACGCCATGATAATATTCCTAAATATTCATATATAATGAGGCACAAAATCAATATACTTTACAGTTAGTACAGTAATATTTCTAACGTAGTATGGTATTACTTCAGAAAATATGCCATGATATATTTTTATATATTAATACAGAGGCACAAAATCGACATAATTTACAGTTAGTACAGGAATACTTTTTAATATATTTAATTTAGAAAATTTGATTGTGACTATAGAAGTGAATAGAAAAAGTTATGTTACCATTAAACTTATTAAAAACTACAGATATCATCACGTATCAATAATGTTTATAACTGATATTGAGGAAAAAGAAGGTTTGCCACTATCAAAAATTGAGTTAATGTTACATTTAACATTCCATTTATAAAACCATGTATGCTCGAACACAATTCATATTTTGGTATTTGAGCAAAAATCATTTCTTTTTCTTCAAGTCTTCTAAAATGTGATATAAGTACCTCTAAATGAGAATACATACAATCAATAAAACAAATAAAAATTAATATCTTCACGATCCAGTAGGGCTATCAGTTCGATACAGTCATCAGATCGACTGAATCGGAGATGTGGTGGGAAACTAATATGAGACAGAATAGCGTGGACTTGCCCAATTACACAATTACAAAGATGATTGGATATTGGCAATCAATTTGAACTCATGATCTAAGACCGTGAAAAAATAATAATGTTTTTGGTTGTTCCAGCAGCTGTTATATGCTATAATTATAATACATGAACAGTGTACATACATGTACAAAATGTATAGACCACCACGACAAGCAAGGGGTTCAACACAGATTTATAAACATTAATTTAAGAGTAAAATCAAATTCAAATCCACTTTTACTGCAGTACAGAGTGTGATCCAAATCAGTTGCACTTAATTGTGAGTCATAATATTGCAGTGCAAGATAAATGTACAAATTGCCGATTTGAGGAGTAAAAACTGACAATGCTTTCATTGATTGATCAACGATATTGAGAAATATTTCGTTTTATCAAGACGTCGAAGATAAAATCTTGCAAAAACATGTACAAATATATAATTATGTATAAACATGTAAGGAGAAATGCATATAAAAATATAAAAATAGGATATGATTTCTTTTCATTGAGCAAATTGTAGGAATTGAAAGACAGTAACATTTGCGAATTAAACTTTTTACCGCTGCTAAAAACATATGATTGTGTAAAATGATATATTACCAAAAAATACTCTAGTTGTTTAATGTCAGAATTGTTCATTCATATTTAAATATATATATATATATATATATATACATAATTTTATTATGTTTTTGTTGTTGTTCTTCAATTTACATGCATCTTATCTTTGACAATACAAAAGGTCAAGTTATATGTGATATTTAAATCAAGTAAGTAGAACTTTGATTTCTTTTCCATCCATGTGCTTGAATGTCATTTTTGTCACTTGAGGCACATCGTTATTCAACGTAAGCTATAATGTCTTTAATATCACACAATGATTTAAACATTCAAACTGTACATAGTACTCACATTTCTCTACAAGGCATAATTATATATTTATATCGATATCAATATCACATATTTCTTCAATACTCAAAGTGAACAAGGTTCTATAAACTTCTAACAATAATATCCTCGTACAGACCGAAACCCGACCTCTATTCCTGTGTTTCCTTTCTTCTACAAATACATGTAGTATATATTAACACAAAATATCAAACCTAAACTTTTGGTTAGTAAATGCCTTCTTCTTCTTGATTTGATATTGTTTGGCAATCAGTCACAGTTGACTATTTTTGCCACACACTATTTTATGAATTATTTATATATATATATATATATATATATATATATACAATCATATGTACAATTTCATGTCATAAATGACTATTTTTAGGATTCTTTCTCTTTCCATCCCCTTTCCTTCTGCTTATTTTCTTTTTAGACCCTATATTTTTTTCTTCTTTTTTTAGAGAAAATTCAATAAATGAATAAATTTGGAAAGAGACGGCCTAGCCTAGCAAGTTGTACGTACTTGTGTTTACGCGTACGTGCGCGCTCATATACCACCTCTGTATGCACATGTGTACTTCGCACACACCCCCACCTTTTTCAAAATGCCATCTTAACAGTCTTTGAGGTACATTTCGCAGACTTTCGGTTTTAACCTAGGTCACTCCGGCATAGGTGAGGGGGTGCCAGCTGGCATGTGATGCTGGAGGCGATCACCGAATTGTTAGAAAATTCAAAACGTCAAATTAGTAACAAGTATTGTGGGCTTTATTGGTGCAAGAAAAAGGGAAAGAGAAGATAAGAAGGACAAAAATGTAATCAATTTAATGGTTTTGATACAGTTGAGTCTCAAAATAGTCTTGTATCAAGACTTCCACATCAAACATAAATTATCTTCATCTTGTCACACTGATACAAAGCAGATTAATGTATACTGTCTATTCTGATGAAAACAAATTAATATCATCACTTATAAAATGGCAGTATTGTACACTGTATTTTATCCTAGAATCATTTCTTGATGAATTGACGGTTTTCTGTTCTCTGAAATCCGATAGTGTATTAAAACTCAACACATTGCCGGTAAAATTCAATGGGCTAGGAAACATGATTTGTTTATTACACATAAAGAAAAAAAGAAAACATTAACAAAATGGCAATTCTTGGAAATTAGTTCACTGTCATAGCAAATCCAACGTGGTCAATAAGTCCATGGGGGTATGAGGCTTAAGGTGTGTACATCTTTTCCTGTAGCTCCCTTTTGAGTTGTGCAAATTTCACGGATGACTCATCTTAAATGAGGGTAAACAGGAACAAAAATAGTTATATATAATGATTTATGTTACTTTACTTTCATCCAACGATGCTTGTAGCACTAGGCCCGTCGATCAATCACTTGGAATAAATACAACCTCTTCAGACTATCAAATCAACTGCATATTTCAATTTGACCAGGCCAGGAGAAGGGGAGGTTCAGTTAGAAAATCTGATCCGATAAGAAAACACCATAACAGGCGTGACGTGGCCAATCAGTATTAAATGCAATTCAAGGGTGATATCGAGTAAGTTACATGTTTAACAATTATAAATTGGAGTTATACACTAAAACGACACCCTTTCAGTTTGTATTATAATCATAATTGTTATCATGATTAATTATTTACCAAAAGCAGTTTTAATTAAACAAAGGAGAATTCTGAATGTTTTTGAAAAGGTAATACCCATTATGTCAGAATATGCAGTTGGGTCACATTGCTGATGAAGGCTAGCTCTAGCCGATCTGAACAGCTGAAAATTTTGGAGGTAAAGATTTTTTGTATTGCGACCAGGAGTTAAACTCTCAAACAAAATTAGTAAATAATTAGTAGACAATTCAGAATAGATTAAAGAGCGCCTTTTCCTCAGTCTTCAATTTGATACTTACGTCCAAGCAGAAATACGTCGGCTACATATCCCAACCCGGCATCCTTCATGGCAGTGCGGAGTCTGTCCACCTGGTCCCCCGGCCTAACCCTACGTCTCCAGTCACAGAGCATCTCGTCGAAGCCCGACCTTGAAACACTGTTGAAAGTCGAATCCGGTCTGTTCAGGTACTTCTCTACGGCTGAATGCGAGAAGCCGAGCTGGTAGCCCAGACCCTGGACGTCCTTAGGTGTGAACAGGACGTTGGTCAAGGTCTCAAGCAGCTTGTCTGGAGCAAAGTGCTGCCGCCCTTGCCTGCAGAGCATCGAAACAAAGATGGAGAAGTTAGAAAGCAAATTCATGAAGAAGAAAATGAATTCGTTTGTAGATATAAGGGGATAGTTGAGTTCTTCTTCCAGACCGCAAATGCCTTCAAAGTGCATGGTTATTGCTCTTATTCTTATTTATGACATTTCTAGTGCCCTTTTATAACCTAAAACTGTCATGAAGGTAACTTTATCATTCACATATGGCTTGGTAAACCTTAATTCTAATTCACATATGATGCAACAAACCTTAAACCTCATTAAGGTATGAAAAGTTAAACCTTAAGCCCGTTCAGATATGACGTGCTAAACCTTAAGCTCCATTCAGATATGACGCGGTAAATTTTTAAACCTCATTCAGGTATGACGCGGTAAACCTTAAGCTCCATTCAGATATAATTGGGTAAACCTATAGCCATATTCAGATATGACGTGGTTAACCTTAAGTCCTATTCACATATGACGTAAACCTTAAGCCTCATTCACAAATGAAGCAGTAAACTTTTAAGCCTATCTCCATATAACTTGGTAAACCTTATTCATAATTCAGATATGATGGGGTAAGCCTTAACTCCCATTCACATATGACGTAAGAAACCTTAAGCCTCATTCAGATATGATGCGGTAAACCTGAAGACTGTTCATATATGACGCAGTAAAGCATTAAGCCCCATTCTGATACGATGTGGTAAACCACAGCTTTTCTATTATGATGTAATGGTAATTTGTTTTATATTTCTGTATCTTATAATACCGACCTCAATGAATACGGGCATGGTCTTTGCTGCACACAGTTGCTGTTTTATGAAGAAAAAAACGCTACGGTTTACTGCTTCGAATCTGATTAGGCATTTAGGGTGGGGGTAAAACAAGATTGTACATCCTTTTTTTTAACCAATGTGGCGGACCCTTTGTACACAACTCACAAAAATGTTTGTCTTTAAAGGTACCTGAAATTGCGATAACCATTTCCTTTGGTGTTGTAGTCCAGTGGATAAGTCATCGGACTGCATATCACAAGGTACAGGATTAAAATCCTTGCCATCATTACAATCATTACCAATACACTCTGGCAAGACATTAATCTATATTTGCCACAATCTACCCAGATGAGGTAAATGGGTTCCAGGTAGGATAAGTCCTTCGAATTCGCTGTGCCCTGATAAGAATGTGATATCACAACAAACTTTCAATATGGAAGGGTAAATTGGGTGTTACTTACGCGTCAGTGAGGTTAACACCGTAATCTGGTTCCGCTGTTGTTAATAGAATTTAGGGAGAGAAAAGACATTGAAAAAAGCTATAATTTGAAAATGTCCAATTCAATATGAATTTTGTTTTTCTTTCTCATTCACACAGTTTATAACTTTTTTGTTAGCAATACAGGAAAGACTGGAAACAGAATTGGAACGAAAACAAAAATGATGGAAAAAGTTGACACAAATTATTTTTTTATCTTCCTGTCTTAAATTCTCGAAGTTGAATCAAATGAATGTTTTAATGAACCAATATCATTGACAATTACAAAGTGCATTATAAAGAATTACAAGAAAATAGTGATCATGAATTTTAAATACCGGTCTTACACAGTCTTACACCAATTTACAAAGCTACTGATTAGGGGGGGGGGGGTCTCGATCAAGACGTTATCTTTTCTCATCGTTTTCCCCTTCTCCTTTCCCTTTGTTTCCCCCACCTTTTTCTTTGATTTTGTTCACGATTTTTTTTGGGGGAGGGGGAGGGTGCCACGCTCCCCTATTCGCTGCATTCCCCTGTATCTATCTACACCACTGTATATGGATACTTACCTTCTATTGAAGTAGTGAGGCTCTGTTTGACAAGTGTGGATGTCCCCTGCTGGATTGAGAGATTGAAAGTCTTCTTCCCATCCTCAGACGACGAGAACTCGAGCTCGAAGCTCAGGGCACTACTCTCTTCCGCCAGTAGATTCCCAATCGAGATCTTAAGGTTTGATGTGGAAAGGAAATGAAAGTTAGTGGCAGGTGGCAGGAGCTTGACCTCACATGGTTTTGAATTAAATAAGTGCTTTAAAACAATATATTTCATTTAGATGCGTCCATGTTCACCCAAGTATCTGACCCTACAAATTTCACTTCTTGGCAAAAGCCTTGGATCTACAAAGCATAGATATTGCAACAATTGACAAACTTAATGGCATCAGTTTGGTCGAATTTGTGCATCAAAAACTAGAATAATCCACATATTTCATAAAGACAAAACAAAATCTACAAAATCACTCCTTTTCACCATACTTCTTTTCCTTTCGTTATAGCAAGTAATAAAGAACTAAATTCATGCTGATAGGCACCTACAAGTTCTACCCCCTCGTAATTATGGACGAGGGGGTGGAGTAGCCTTGTACATTCATGATTCCTTAACATTTAAAGAGAGACCTGACTTAAGTGTAGATGGCTCCGAATATATTTTTATTGAAATTATAAATAAAGCTAAAAATATACTTGTTGGAGTAATGTATAGACCACCTCATAGTAATATTGATATGTTTGTAGATAGATTAGAAGAAAGTCTTTCTTTAATATCGCGTGAAAATAAAATCATATATCTTATGGGGGATTATAATATTAATCTACTTCCACATGCATTGAATAATATTGGACTTAGGTTACTAACTACACTCTCTTCTTATTCCCTCCATCCACATATTAACAAAGCTACCCGAATAACTAGTATAACTGAAACTTTAATAGACAATATATTTTCGAATATTTTTAATGAAAACAGCCAGAACGGAATTTTGTATTCTGATATTTCTGATCACCTTCCCATATTTGTTATTTCCCCTACAATTCAGTTACTTAAACATGAGTCCATGAAGTATATTTACGTTCGGAAAGAAACGGATGCTAATATTCAGAGCTTTCGGGCGGATTTAGCACCAGAATCTTGGGTTGATGTATTTAATTTAGTAGTTGCAAATGATGCTTACGATATATTTTTGAATAAATTAATGTATTATTACAACAAAAATATACCTTTGGTTCGAATTAAGTTAAATAAAAATAAGGCTAAGAAACCATGGACAACGAGGGGCATTTTACGATCGATTGCGACTCGCAATCGATTATATAAGAAAGCGTTAAGAAGTAAAGATGATATCGATTTAGATAAATATAAAAAATATAGAAATAAGTTAACATCTATTATTCGGCTATCACGCAAATTATATTACTCAAATAAAATTGCGAGTACTCAAAATAATAATTCTCTTTGGAATATTATCAAAGATCTTACTGGTAAGAAAAAACATATAAATACAACCATTAATGTTAATGGACAAGACATTAATAATTTGAATGAATGCGCTAATTATTTTAATAAGTACTTTGTTGATGTAGGTCCCACATTAGCCTCTAAGATAGATGCTGGCAACAATCACTTTTCTCAATATCTTTTAGAACCCTCTGAAAATTCATTATTCTTTACTCCCACAACTATTCATGAGGTAATTAGTATAGTTCAATCACTGAAATCAAGCAAGTCATCAGGACCAGATGGGTTAAGTATGAATCTCATTAAGCAAATAATACACTTTATTGTTTCTCCATTGGTTCATATATGTAATATTTCTCTCTCTACTGGTTCCTGTCCTAACTTATTAAAAATTGCTAAGGTTATACCGATTCATAAAAAAGATGACCCATCTAAACTTCAAAATTATCGTCCCATATCATTATTATCAAGTATTTCAAAGGTTTTTGAGAAATTGGTATATAAAAGATTGATTTCTTTTTTGAATGAGCACGATATTTTGATTCCTAACCAGTTTGGTTTTAGGAAAAATCATTCAACTGATTTTGCTTTAATTAAACTTTGTGATAAAATAATTGAATCTCTCGCAAATAAGAAGCATGTTATAGGTGTTTTTATGGATCTGAGTAAGGCCTTTGATACCATTGATCATACAATTTTACTTTATAAACTAGAACACTATGGTATCAGAGGCCTTGCTCTATCCTGGTTTGAGGACTATCTTAAAAATAGAACACAGTATGTTTATTATCATTCTAATAGTTCCTCAAAAATGAACCTCACATGTGGAGTTCCTCAAGGCTCCATCTTAGGCCCGCTCTTATTTTTGATTTATGTAAATGATATAATAAAATCTTCAAATACTCTAACTTACATTCTTTTTGCCGACGATACAAATATACTTTACTCACACAAAAATATTGATACACTTGTTGATACTGTAAATCATGATTTGTGTAATATTTCGATTTGGTTTAAATGTAATAAATTATCCTTAAATATAAGTAAAACTAATTTTATCCGTTTTAGAACTATTAACTCCCAGGACCAACCACAATGTAATTTGTTTATAGATGGTTTATCCCTGGTTGAAAAACAATCGACGAAATTTTTAGGAGTTATTATTGACTCAAATTTGTCTTGGAACGAACACATTCATAATATAAATATTTTGATATCCCGGAATATTGGTATTTTATATAAAATTAAATGTTTGATAAATGATAGATCTTTGTTTATTCTTTATAATACTTTAATTTTACCGTATATAACATATTGTAATATTATATGGGCAAACTGTAGTAAAACTAAAATAAACTCAATATTTCTTTTGCAAAAGAGAGCAATTCGTATTTGTACACACTCTAACTATCTTGCAAATTCGAACCCGTTATTTAGTCAATTAAAAACATTAAAGGTTTATGATATACATACGCTCCAAACTGCCATTTTTATGTATAAGTACACTTCCAAAACTCTTCCAGCATCTTTTTTAAACTTTTATTTATTAAATGTAAACGTACACTCATATTCAACTCGACATGCTCATGATTACCATCTTAATAATCCCAAACTTAGTTTAGCCCTACGATCAATTAGACACCATGGACCAGATATTTGGAATAACTTACCAAACCATATTAAAACTAGGACCTCCCTGCATTCTTTTAAAGCTTATTTGAAAGCATATTTGTTAACTCAGTATAGTTTACTAGATCTTACATAGAAATTTAAAAATTATCTAATTTGTTATGTCTTGAATTGTTCTGTCTTTGTTTGTCAACAGAAATGGACCCTGCATACATTTAATATTATCACCCGTTACTGAAACCAACACACGATTAATATCACGGTATTAGTCTCTTTTTATTCCACCAAGCTAAATTTTTGCACCTTGCACAAATGCACTTCTCAACACGAAATATTTCACTAAATTTGTTTTGTTATTTTCGCTCAAAATTAATTCAGCCATGCTCACTTTTAATCACTTCAATTATATCTTATTTAACATTGAATACAATGCAGTTGCATGGGTTGTTCTTTTATTTTGTTAACTAGGCAGAGGCCACGGTCATGTTCAAGCATTTACGCTTACGACATGTGGTCTCCTGCTTTTTCCTTTTGTATGAAACTTTTATTTTAACTTGAAACAAATTTTGTCAAACTTACATGTTATTCATCATATTTATTTGTATGTTTCTTTGTATTGATATGAAAAAGTGGAAATAAAACAAACAAACAAACAAACAAACAAATTATTGTTCTGGATTTAGTCAAGATGCCCGGCTACGTTCTGAAAGCATTCATTGGCTTTAATCAAGCAGTAGATTAATGATATATTAATCTACGAATTGAAGAATTGTATCACATTTTTACTCACTGTTTTCTGCTTGTCTATGAAACGATCACTGAAGCACATCAATAGATCCTTTGTCGTTGATTCTACTGAAAACTTGGTTGCAGTCGTCACGAGGCAGAAGGGTTTTGACAACTCTTTTTCGGCTCTCTCAATATCCTAAGATAAAACATGGTCAAAGTTCATAGTGAATGGAATAATACAAGTGAACCGGTTCAAAAGCATTCTTAACAGTTTATAAAGCTCAGTGGCATGTCCCTCTCCAACTCTAATTCAAGTACAACATGAAAATACATGTATTGAACAAATTATTAATGACAAATTCATGGAAATACATATATATATATATATATTTAAAAAAAAAATCATTTCATTTTATCCGCTTGCATTTTGTAAGATATTGTTCAGTATTTTCTTTTTTAAAAGTATTGATTGTAATATCAAATTCATTATTTTAGTTTTTTTTTGTTTTCTGAACTTTACATGTACTAAAAGACTTTGTTTAGCTGTAAGGGGTTAGGCTCGACTAGCACTTTTGCTATTATCTGGCCCCTTTTACCAACAAATATTTTCTCTTCATATATATTTAAATAGCATTTTATGAAATGTATTGCTGTTTTGCTGTTGGTAAATAAACCACATCAAATCGAAATAGGATAAAAACTTCCAAATCATTTCTACCTTTATAGGTCTCCTATAGGGGTGAGTGACGTAAACACGGAGTGTGACTTTCCGGGAAGAGGGCATGAAGAGAGGCTGGAAGGTTACACATCTGAACTGTACTCCTTGGACGTTGGTGGAAGACAAGGCAAAGAGCTGAAGATGGTTTGTAGTGAAATCAACCTTGTCTTCGGTGATGTGGAAACCTCTTGATGAATTAGGAAGCAACCGCCTGCGACTGAACGTTCCTTGATGAATAAAACAGATCTTACAGCTATATTAAATCTTTTAATCTCGTTAAAAAAAAAGGTGTAGTCCACTCTGATATTAACTTGGTTTGAATAGGAGCAGAAAAATGAGAGACACAGAACTCTGAAGGTTTGAGCAAAATTTGATTAACATATTAAGATAATTATAAGTTTTTAAAGTTGCAATCTATGAAACACAAATTGGCAATTCTGTGATATATCGTATGCGGGATATCCCGTTTGTTTTGTACTGAAAATTTCCATTCAAATGTTTGTTCAGGGGTTCTGTAGAACTACCAGCAAAGTCATTATGAAGATGAAAACAGTGATTAATTCAGCCCTTAAATAATATATAGGCCTATCTAGAAAGGGTTAATACCTAGTCCTGTTTTGGTGTACAGAATCATCCCTGAGCCATCCCTGCATTGTTTAGGGCCGACGCAATGTGGAAGCACTACCGTAGCAGGTTCGAGCAGTTCCTGAGTTAGGGAACACTCAACGACTGGAGTGATCAACACCTCACCGTCCCTGAGAGGAATCCGAGCAGCGCCCTCTATAGGTACCCTGATGGTGACCACAGACCTCATTCCCCTGCGTAACGCCCCGGCAGGAATTGAAACCCGGATATCGAGTTCACGCAGCTCCACTACTCCTCCTTTGTGATCCAGGATGCTGCTCGAGATGAACTCTACAAAGCCTGGATCAGCTTTGATGGCTGTAATGATTAAAAAGTGACAAGGTTAACAATTTAAGGGGTAAAAAGGAGTTTTAATGGCAAAGAAACAGGGGTAGGAGGTCAACTTTGCTGGGTATCTTTATCCAACATCATGAAGTCAATCTACAATTTTGGTAAGCCAACACAAAGCCACTCTGTTCTATATGTTTCATTCACAATTTTGTTTTGGTGGGGGGGGGGGGAGATATTTGTGATATACGAAGAGATGCCAAATATTGTATATCGTCTCTTGTATTGATTTATAAGGAAATATCAAAAATAAATCATTACTTGCAGCTATGCTTTCTACCGCATCGTTGAAACGGAAAGCTTGGACAATCTCCAAGAGTCTTCCTCGGGTTCCTCCTCTCCTTAGCCATTCTCTGAGCATGTGCAGAACAACCGGATGTACTACATACGCGGGCAGGGTGACGGTCTTACACATGGCACGCATGATGTCAGAAGCGCCAAAGTGCAGACGTGGGGCAAGCTGAAGCATGTCTGACATGGAGCACATCCTTTTGTTCAGTTCTTCGAGAGCGTCATCTAGAAATAATCACATGATAAACACAAAATAATAGCAATAACTATTATCATTATTATTTTCATTACTATCAACATCATTATCATCATTATTATCATTGTTGTTGCTGTTGTTAATGGGACACTTCATATAAATGCGCACAAGGCATAAAAAGAGAAGAAAAGAAAGAAAATTAAAGAACATGGAAATATGCAAAAGAAAAATAGCTTGCAAAGTGAATATAATGGGTAGTAACATTTTAAATAATTTACAGGGTTTTTAAACCCAGGACATCTAGTTTTTTGCAAGTGGTTAAAGTTAAGGTAAATTTATTTAGAGTCTCCTCGGTACCAACACACCCACACATCCACCCACACACGCGCTCAAACATCCAAGGCAAACCTGTTTGGTTGTCCTGAATATTGTATTCCAGGAGAAGGTCAGCCATTTTATCGCTCCTTTCCTTCCTATCTAAACCAATCCACGAATTATCAACGAGCTGTCTTGCAACCTTGGTCAGTGTTGTCAAATCAGGTGGCTCAATGAGTGGAGCAATAACGTCGTCCTCCAAGCAGAGTGCCTTTCCTAATTCCCAGGCCAATGGCAAACTCTTCACTGCCCGAGCGACGCTGTAAAGTTCCTCCGAAGTTGGCGGTCCTCCTGATTTGTTGATGTCATCAACAGAATTGTCCTGATCTATAGTAATTAAAAAGGAACCGTTTTGCGATTGGAGGCTTTCGGTACCAACATGTGGCAGAATTACTGAAAGGCTGTATATATATTCTCTAATCAAAAGTATCCGTTTATGGTGTGTTCAGAGGAATTAAGGAAAAGATAAAGGAAAGGGCAGAAAAGTAGAGAGATATAATGATGAAATTAAGTTTATTTGTACACTTCGACAAGACTTTGGAATTTGTTTTTGGTGTTCGTACACAGACACTGAGGTGATATGGCAAAACGAACCGAAGGGGAAGGAAGGATTGATCAAGATCAAGAAGTTTATGAGTAGATCACAAAACTTTGAAGGGTGCAGTTCGGAAAAGAACTATCGATATTCCTTTGTAGAGAAAGAAAAATCAAGGTGCGCATAAACCCTGAATTACAGCTTTTTGAGAGAGACAGTTGCATCACTGGATAGCGTTCCTAATCAATCAGTAGTTTCATGGAGTATACTTTTCTATACTTTCTATGGCAATTTGTTTGTTGTCACGTACTGTTGAATCTTTTTTTTGGGGGGGGGGGCAAGAAGACCATAACACCTTTCCCGAAGCAAGAGGATTAAACAAATAAAATAAAATAATAGAAAATATCGTTTGATAATGAAGAAGATGTTACTTGCCTGAATCTGTAGTCCTGATGATTTCCACATAGTCCGCATCCATTCCTTTGCTTGGTGGAAGTCTCCTCATAGGTTTGGTTATGGTCTGCTTCTTTTCAGGCAAACTTCTCTCATCTACAACTAAAGATATAATAACAATTAATGATCATATGATGATCTAATAAAGGAGTAGTGGTCTTGTGAAAACGTCACCGGACTATGGATCACATGGTCCGCGGTACAAGTCCCGCTGTGGCACTAATGTCCTTTGGCAAGTCATTAATCTTCATTTGCCACTCTCCACCCAGGTAAAGTAAAATGGGTTCCCGGTAGGAAGAGATTCCTTGACAGCTTAAGCGCCTTATTATGGCGGCTTAGCTACAGCTGGGGTAATTATATCATACTTCGTATCAAGCACATTAGAGTATATTCATATTGTTGCTGCGGTATAAAAAGGACTTATAATTATCATTATTATCATGGTAATATATCTATATCGTTATACATGTATATTTACAAGAGCCTCAAAACTATACATTTTTGTTGGCCATGTAATGAAAGTTTTTCTTCAGTCTGGTGTCGGTCTGTATGGTCTCATTGGTAGGATTTAGGTATTAGGGGTGGTATTCTGCACTTTGTCATCTTTTGTGTATTAAAGTGAAAGTCTTTTATTTGTCTTAAGAAATTGAAACATACAGTTGAGAGATATCTGAATAAGCCACCCTTGGTAATTGTCTTTCTATTCCGGGCGTTATTAATTAGTTATGATTAGCGACATTAACTAAAATGAAAGAAAAAGAAATTTCCTGAATCTGGTCCCAGGCCAACGTTTCAATTACTCTGTTCTCGATGTAGGCTCAGGTTCAAGAGAAAAATTCCTTGGACTAGAATGTCAACTCGAGGCCCCGTGCCCTAATGCACTTTAATACTCTATACTCCTCGCAAAGAGTATGCCGTAGACCTGGTGTTTAGTGTGCCTGTTGGTAATCTTTCTACAAATCGTTGGGATAGCTGCATAGCCCTTGAAGATTAACAGAAGAAGAAGAAGAAGAAGAAGAAGAAGAAGAAAAAGAAAGAACACTATGTCAGAGTACAGGCCTACCTTCGGATTTCTCTGATTTTGATGCTGTTTGGATGGACTCCCAAACACGTTTCATCACCTCTATAGCTTCTGGTTCCGAAGTTTGGGATGCTTTCCAACTAGACAGCATCTGGATGTTGGCATCCTTTCTGTTTGCAAACGTTCGATGCTGTATGTGTTCTAGCTCCGTGCGGTTGAATTCCAACTTCCTGCCAATCTCAAAGAACTGTTCTGCCTTGATCTGACTGGCAAACGCAAGCAGCATCTTGTCGGGAATCTCACTGTTATTGATAGTAAAGTGAACAAGTTATTACTTCGCGTCGGGTCGGGTGGTCGCGTCACCCGACCTTTTGTGACAACATCCCCTTTAATTCATAAAAGGTGGGTGGTCATGCTTGTGAAATAAACCCCTCTCATTTAAAAAAAAATAGTGTAATCCAAATTACAAAACACATAGTGAAAACCCTATACAGCAAATGTACGAATTAAAGGTCGCACCATCTTCCTCTTTTGTTTCATTAAAGGTCGTATAAGGGACCATCAAACCGGACGATATGACCTAATGATTCGAAGTAATAGCTCTTATTAAGGACGTTGCAATTATTGTCTGTCTATGCATAATCTGTTCACGTACATGGAGTTTCACTGCCATACAACTTTACATGTCAAATCTTATGGCATCTGTGTCATCATACAAACTGTTTTTTGGCGGGCCAGGACGCACAATAGTTTTTCGAAATGGTGCGCCAAATACTCTCGCAAAACGAACCATCATATGAATATACTTACCCAGTTGTAGCTGGTTATGATACATGTCGATCAAGTGGCAGACGTTTTTGATAATGACGACACATGGCCGGGAAAGTAGAAAAAGAACACAAAATTATGATAAGTTGGGAATCATTCCAAAGACATAATATAGGAAAGAAAGATTTAAACAAATTTAGAAAAAACCTTCTACCTGAACCTTTGATAATCACCCTTGCATGAAGGCGTGGTTAGACCTCACCTAAAACAATATAACTATAATGATAACTCGTTCCCGATTCAGAAGATATTATGAGGGCAGTGCTCCTACTGATTTATTTACAGAGCCCCAGCTATTTTATTATTGAAGGCTCCGTCTAATAAAGAGTTGAGAATGCAATATATATGGATCAATCGCAAGTCCCCTAATAAATCTCAAGTGTGCAGTCCCCATAGCTTATGTACGTAGTTGCGATTAATATCAACTCTTTATAAGACGGGCCCAGGTGTACATATGCAGATCATTAATTGTTAGGTTCGACCAGGCCTTCAGTTTTTGACAACAAAATGTCCCAAATCCGCAAAGAACAAAACACTGATAGACCATGGATATCATGGGATTGCCTGCATGCTAGTCAGTAATGCTATTGGTTAATATATACTTCATGTGGCTTTCTTGCGGATGTTTTACCATATACTATGATCAGCCAAGAGAGGAAACGTGAACAATAGCAAAAACCAGTCACAATAGGGATGAAAACAACCACAACATCTTTATTCACTTTTAACAAATTAAGAAATAATCAGTACAAATACTAGCACTACAAACCTGACAGTGATTGAATTTTCTCCTACAACAATTGCTCCAGCTTATATTTTGTCGAATCTAAGGGATACGGATTAACGTTAGGGTTAGAGTTTGTATTAGGCTATATATAGTGTGGTGCAGGGTTGGAAAAAGCTATTCAATTGTAGGAAATAACCGCAGAGCGATTGATGCAAGACCAAGTGCCATTCAACTAACCTGAAATCTCTGTCTGTTTGGCTGGCGAGACCAAAGATTTCATGAGCGAGAGAAACGTTTCCTTCGCTTCTTGGCCGGAGGTCTGTCTTTTTCTCCATGTTACCAGCATGTCATAGGTGGCCTGCTCTCTGTTACGGAACCTCCTATACTCTATGACATCCAACTGTTGTATGGTGAAACCAAGAGCCACTCCCAAATCATAGTACTGGCTCACCGTCATCATCTGAGCTATCGTGATAACATCAATGTCGGGAAGGTCACTGCCGGAGAGCTCTTCCACAGCCCTGAAAAATATACAGTCAAATTTGATTCGGCAAACTTGTCCAGAGAGACGGCCTGCCTATGAAAATATTATACCATGTTTCCCTTGAAATTTGTTTCCTATTGGAACCTGTCTGTAAACTGCCTTTTTTGGAGGGGGGTGGAGGGTTGAATACACATTTCTTTTCAAAATAGGAATATACTTTGACCATATATCAATGGTTCATTTCATAATGTGAAGAAATGTATAGTGTCAATGAAGTGCAATGAATGATATTAGGTATGCATGGCTGTAGTCATTTACTTGAGAGGTATCATGTATATCAAATATCAAAGTACCAAAAAGAAACTGAATACATGAAACATACATTTCTGACAACAGCATCATACAAAAAGAAAGCTTACCGAATAAATGAAGAGGGCTCAATAGATACTTGGCATATTGAGTCATCTGCAATAAAAGGGATTCATAATTTTAAAAAGAAAAACAAAATAATAATAATAACTTTAACAAAAAATGACGATAAATAATAATACAAATAATAGTTACAATACATCTTATTGACCCAATGTTGCCTCATCAATATAAATTCTATTTCTCTGGGGGCCCTGCAATCATATTATTAAATACTACTTGTTAGCAAAATGAAAGCCACAATCATCATCTTAACAACAAGAGCAAGAGCAGGAGCAGGAGCAAGAGCAGGTCTGGAACGGGAATATGAACTGGAACAACAACAAAAACGATCAGAACAACACCACCATCAACAGTAATGATGATAAAAGTGATTCGTATATGGTTGTATTTACCCAGGGTAGCCTCATAAGTATTTAATAATACTTATTTTTTTAATATAAATGTGTTATTTTACCTTAAGCCTGATACTATGCCTCAGGCGCTCAGTGTTTTTAACGAGTTATTTTGTGCTGGGTACCTATTTACTTTACCTGGCGGAGAGTGGCAAATGTAGATTAATGTCTAGCCAAAGGAGATTGGATGAACTTCGATGACCAAAATCCAAAATCCAAATTCAAATCCAAATTCACATCCAAAATAAAATTTTATTTCAAATTTTATTTCAAATTCAAATTCAAATCCAAAATCCAAATTCAAATCCAAATCCAAATTCAAATCCAAATCCAAATTCACATCCAAAATAAAATTCAAATACAAATTCTATTCCAAATTCAAATTCACATTAATTAAACATACCTGTTTACTAATTACATGCATACTTTTCCCCCTTGAAGACTGAATAGCTTGCTAGAGGCTTACCCAACATAGCAACAACTAATGTATGCAAAATGAATTCCATCCATTTTACATAGCAGGTGAATCAAATAGTTGGTAACAAAGGGTTCAGGACAGAAACATGCATGAATTGAAATACATTTGTAAGCAGATTTATTTGCCCCCCCCCCCCCTCCCACACTGAAAAAAAGTCTTAGAATAATTATCATGACTTTCATCAAGCTCTATCATGGAGAATGAAATGTTTCCACCAACCTGTGTATCTGATGACGAACGCCAACGATTGAGACATTCTGCCTAGTCTTCCAACCTGTGATATCGTCACGTAAATGACTGAGAATTCTGCACCGTCCTCGCCAGGAGTCATTGATAGCAATATGCTGTGTCTCATCTGGCTGTGGATATCCTTCAAAGAAAGTAGCTGTGGGCAAAATACAACCAAACAATTAACATTAAACCTGTATTCAAAGATCAACCAGGGGAGGTAACAAAGGTGATATTTACGAGCAGGCAGTCTTTATGGACAGGTTACTATATATGGTTAGATGACAAACACAATTCAAGGGGGACCACAAAATGTAATATATTATGATTATAGACATGTGATCTTTCTATGCAGGTTGTAGCTTAAAGCAGTTTTGACTGTATTTTATTTTATGCAGTTAGCTACGAAATTTAAAGGAAACATTTGAAGGGAAAAGAGTTGGTTAAAGGTTTGAAATAGATGGTTGGGTGCTAGCAAAGGGGAACAAATGTTACCGAGCATTCTTCATTTTGTTTTTCATATCAGAGGGAACAATTAAAGTTTTACTTAAAAATGTATCTTTAAGCAACAAAGTTACGAGTGTGAAAATGAACAAAACAGGACTTCTCATGTGACTATTTTCTTTATAATCAAAGTGATATTAATTCCAGAAAAAATTTAGAGTGAAACCTGCTTTTTAGCAACCAACTGTACATTTAAAGACCACCTGTCCATAAAGACCACATTATCTATTTCCCTTGAATACTGTTTGTCGTTGTGTACTATTAAAAGGAACCTGTATATAAAGACCACCTGCTTTTTCTGTCTCCCTTGAGCGGTCCTAATACAGTGAAACCTGTATATATATAAACTGTTCAAAGGGGACAAGAAAAATAGTCTTCAATGGCAGATGGTCTTTACAGACAGGTTGCTTTAGGACAGGTTTCAATAGGAAATAACTTTAAAGGGAAACACCACATAGGGTCGTTATAGGCAGGAAGGCTTTCTATACAGGTTTTACTGTTTTGGCAGATGTGTTTTCATACCTTAGTGTTGCTCATCTTGCCTTCACAATCACAAGTCACTGAAATGTCACCGGATTTAGCTTCGATAGAGATCGGAAAGGAGCGATGTGCATTGTGGTATGAACTCTGCTTCTCCTCCCTTTGTACTTCCTATTTTTTTTAAAAAGAACAGAACACAGACTGTATCTCATTCATTAACCATTTCAGGTTAAAGATATAGCTACGGAGACAGATCTTTCGCCAAAGCTGCACCGGTTCTCTGGAACTCACTTCCTCTTATCTGAGGAAATTAGATTTTGTAAAACAATTCAAAACACAGCTTAAAATATATCTGTTTATCTCAAATTGAATTAAAGTTATATGTAATTTATGTAATATCTACAATCTACATGATTGTATGTACCGGATGTATCTACATGTATTTCTATAATTACGGTGGGCCAACATTTGCTCCGCTGATAATTAGTCCAGGATATATCCACACGTCAGGAGGCCCGTGTGTAGGAGAGTCACACCCTATCCAAGCTAGTTCATACTCTCACAAAAAGTAGGGTTTAAATCTGGCTTTTAGTGTGCTTGCTAATGCTGCAATACACAACTGGTAATCTATATACAGATCTTAGTGACAGGCTGTATAGCCCTTTGGAAATTACAAGAAGATGAAAGAATATTCAAGTGGGCAAAATTGGGTTGCCCATATAGGTCCAATATGAATCTTCAGTGCAAACTTATATGGGGCCCATATGGGAATTCCAAAGAGGGGGCTATATGGGAACCCCCACCCTTTGATGCCCATATGGGATAGTGCACATCATGCCCACAATTTTTCCACACCAGATGGGCCCTGGGACGAACCCATATGGGCCACCTGGGATGGTCCACATGTGTCCCATACGAATCTCGGGTGGAATATCATATATGGAGTCTCTTTATGGGCAGACCCATGTGGGACCCATATTGAAACCCAAGGTACATGTGACCCATATGAGCATGCTCCCTGGGAAGAGATCTGAAGGAAATGAGAGAGAATAAAAGTGAACCGAGTTGCACCGAAGTCTTTCTAACTGACCATTTCTATTCCCGGGATATCTGCATTCAGGTGGAGATGAACATCAAACTCTTTGCCTCGTTCAATCTTGTCCGGTACGTATGGGGTACACATGAATTGAAGCTGGATGGTCTGTTGCTCAAGAGGGATAAGAACCCACCACTCAGCACAGTGATCGATGTGCAACTCAAGATGTTTCTCCAAGATTTTGCAGTACGGCAATTTGTCAGGTGCAGCAGATGATTTTGTCCTCGAAACTCTTGGTAAACCTATGATTAGATCCATAATGTCAAGTATTCTTTAATAAGCATTTGAGCAACATGAAGCTAGGTATAGCCCTGTTATGAAAAAAGATTCCTGTTTGAAAGGATGATGACTAGATAAGATAAAGTTGAGTACTTGTCATGCAATTACATTGTGAAAGAAACTGTCTGAAAGCAACTGGAAAATGTAGTTTATGATGTTAATAAAAACTGATGCGCCTTGTGACGTTTTTCATTATTTAACATGAAAAGAAATTGACACATTTTTCCATAAGATCACATGCACCACACACAGAAAATGTGAACACGGTACTAAACAGAAGTGTTTGGACCAAACTTTATAGCCATTTATTTTAATATATGTTGAATAAGAAAGCATTTTAATAGCAATCCTTTTCAGGAAACATTTCTACTTAGGTATTGTTCCAAAATGACTTGGTATAAAGACCAGGATCCCTTGGGTAACCATGAGGAAAAGAATAGTTTAAAGTACTGTAGTTTTGTATAAAAGAAGACTTCAATAATATTTGCTGAAAGAATGGACCATTAATAAACCAAATAACCTACCCTTTCTTGTATCCCAAATATGTGAGACGATGTCTGGTATCACTTGCTCAGGTTTGATGAATAAGGTGGAATGCGGTATCGTGATCTTAACAGGATGGTGGAAGACCATGTTTTGAGGGCCACATCTGATCCCGTAGGCTGCGATTGGTGTGTCATCTTGGAGGTCAACACTGAAGAGGTCCCTCACAAGGGTGAGCGTGATATTGCAAGATTCATTCTGTTCGAGAGCCCCAGGTGGGATAGACATTGCAATGCCATGGTGTTCCAGTGTGAGCTCTTTACCGTCACATCCGACCTGAACAGAGACGGCGTTGACCACTGGTGGCGCCGTCTTGCCAGCTGCAAATAAAAAAATAATCAAAGAGAGATTGAGAATGATAAGGGTTTAAAGATAAAGTTGAGTATCTTTCCATGGAAAGAAATTATCCAGAAGCAATCGGGAGAGGTTGACTATGTTTTACATGAGTATCAATGAAGGTTTTGGAGTGATCAAAATGAAAAGTAAATCACTCTATCTGGGTATTGATATTGGGAACTGCACAATGCAAACACATGGCTTAAAAGTTTGGTCCAAACCTTTAAAGAATTTTTCGTCATACTTCAAATATAAGGGCATTTGCAGAGCAATACTTTTCAGGGGATATTTCAACTACTTCTGTTCCCTCAAATTGCCATAAAGAAAACAGACAAAAACATGGGGAAGCTTATAACTTATGCTTTATCTTTCACCGGAAACCAATCTTCTCTCACTCACCGTGGGCATTTTGGAATGGACATTTAGTTAACGAATAGAACTGATCATCATGTCAATTATTTTTCTCTTTTAATCATGAAGCTTGTTCTTCTGAAAGTAAATTTGGCAATCCCCAAAGTTTTCTTGTTCTGTTCTTGTCTTCATAATATATCTATGTCAATACAAAATTGAAACCCTTATTAATCAAATATTTATAATTGTTTGTTTATGATAGTCTATGTTTTATTATTTATTTATCAGAAAGTGTTACCTCGATAAGCTCTGATGATGTCCATGGCAGGAGACCTGAGAATATATGCAAATGAAAACAAAGAAAAAGTGATGTTCTCATATTGTTACAACCTTCAGGATATATACTTGGGCAAGCAAAATGTATTTGATCAAATATCCACAGATTTTTTACCCATGAGATCAAAGTCCCACTTTCTGCATTTAAGAATAATCACTGCGAAAGCAATGAAGGTGCTTCACAACTACTTTTTGTTTGCCCTCTTGAAAGAATACTTCCACCTGTGTACAATAGAAGATACCGTTAAACAAAAGTTTTACAATATACATTAACTAGTTTATACAATCATCAGGAATACTAACGTTTAAGACATGGTAAGGACAAAACAGGACTTATGGAATGTATGGGACAATTTGCTTTCAAATGCATTTTTTCGCATATTTTTGGAAAATAAAAGACTCAACTATCTGAAAAAAAATAAACAAGAAAATTCAAAACAATATTCAGCATAATTTATGTTTCAAATTGCCAACATTTATCTGACTAAATTTCCTTAAAATGTTTTCAATGAAGTTACTGAACATTTATGCAATCCTCTTTGTATACTAGTATTCATATTTGGTTAAATTCAATTTGAACAATTTTTAATGAATGTGTCCCAGGTGGAATTGCCCCGTTTCATCCGCATAATTTAATTACAAAACCTGGTAGCAACCGTATTAATAACTCGGCTGGAAACCCAAATCCAAATTTAAGAAAGCCACGTTAATCATTTCATTTAAAAGAAGAGATAATAATAACTGTATTTTATAAAGCACTTTACCATTTACAATGTACCTGACTAAAGTTGTTACAGTATGATCAACCAGGCTCTGTACTCTATAATGATTCTGCACTTTACAGTGCACTCTCCACTCCATGGGGAGCCTTTTAGCCAGTCACACTTTTGTACTGGTGTGCGCATGCTAATCAAATCACATTGGCGTTCACATCCTGGCAGGTACACATTTAATACCTGGGTGGAGAGGAGCAAATTAGATAAACATGCCTTGCCCACGGACATGCATGCCATGCAGAGAATATAAAGAACCGACGACCTTTGGCGTTCCAAGTCGAGTGATTAGACTACTTGACTATGACACCGTTTCTATATTTGTTCCAAATGACCATGTTAATATAATGCTTCCCTACCTTGAGAATATCATCTGGCGAATGATTTCATCCTTGGCATAGTGGACTGGTAGGTTGCCTTGGTTATCCTTGATGTCCGGCTTTGCTCCATGCTCCAAGAGATAGAAGACCAGGGCCTTCTTGGGAGATAATTCATTCTGATAGAACTCTTCTGAGATCTAGAACAATTATATATAGAAAATATTGTTTATACTTTGGGAGGCCTTTGTGTTTCTGAAGATTTATCCACAGGTTCATAATTCCGAACATTTGTTGTGTTTTTCTAACTCATTCATTGTTAAAAGGCGATGCTCACTCACGTGTGGATGGCATGATTCCAATTACATCCCATTGTAAGTAAGCAATCCGGTTAGTGTAGGAAATTACTTCATAGCAATTGTCGGAGGTACAAATGTTGTACAATCCCAAGGACAGTGTGTTCTGGAGTTCATCATCTTACCTTTTGGAGTGCTGGTGTTGCTTCAACCCTGCTGTTCTTCCGACCAGAAAGTATGACGGCTTCGTGAAGACAGGTCTGTCCGTCTATGGACTGGATGTTGAGATCGGCGCCATGAGAAACTAATGTCTCGATGATGGCTGTGTAGCCATTTTGCGTGGCTAAATGAACTGGTGTGCAGCCTTTCTCAGTATGTTGTCCAACAACCTGTGTAAAACACCATCCTCAAGAATTAAGAATATACAAACAAAACAGCTTTTATGAAGCAGTTTCTTTTCTGGTTTTCCATATCTTTAATCACCAAGTAGACTTACATATATACAGATATTAAAAATTAAACAAATATTATACAGTCAAATCTGTCTGTAAAGGTCACCCATGGGGAGAAAAAAAGTGGTCACTGTTGACAGGTGGCCTTTGTAGAGAGGTTCTCAAACACACATTTCTTTCTCGAGGGAGGCAAAATAAACGGCCACGATACACAGGTGGCTTTCATAGAGAGGTGACCACTAAGACAGCTTTGACTTACATGTATATGTACTGGTACACAATAGGTTTTGAGAAGTCCTCGTGGAATCATTTCAACCTTTTTCATAATTCAGACAATCTATATACCTTCACAAGAAAGTTTTAACAGGATTATTAAGGATAAAAGTTTGCTAACCCTTTTCAATTTATATTGATATGATTTTAAAACTTGCAAGAATATTGATAAACTGTATGATATTTTTTTCATATGAAATATATAGGAATACTAAATTAAATACCTTCTTCTCATCTTCTGTTAAACCCTCTGCTGCGGGTTGCAACGCAGTCTTCCCAGGTTTACTCAGATTGACTTCAGCTCCGTGCTCCAATAGATATCGTGTGATATCGGTATGTCCATTTGCAGCAGAAAAATGCAATGCAGATGATCCCTTCTTGGTAACCCTGGTAACATCAGCATGTTGCTGAAGTAGACACTTCATGACATCGATGTGACCGTTCTGAGCAGCAATGTGCAAGGGAGTCCAACCGTCATTGTCTGTCGCATCAATTTCGGATCCGTGGTTGAGCAAGCCTTTCGTGATATCGAGATGACCATTCTGCACGCCCACATGTAGGGCTGTAGAACCTTTCTCCTTGGTGGCTCCGTTGACCTCTGCTCCTCGCCTAAGCAAATGCTCGATAACGCCGCAACGGCCAATGAATGCAGCAACATGCAAAGGAGAGATACCATCAACATCCCCATTAGCTACTTCAGCTCCTTGTTCAAGTAGATAATCTACAATACCAAGATGACCCATTTGCGCAGCTAAATGAAGGGCAGTCCAGCCAGCATTGTTGCTTTCGTTCACTTCAGCTCCTTGACTGACCAGATACCGAACAACTGCTAAACTGCCACCTTCTACAGCATATTGTAATGATGTGCGACTAACTGTTCTGCCTCCTTGACTTGCAAGAAGATCTTGAATGTCAAGATCAGACAATATACTTGGCCGATGCACAATAACCATTCCACCTTGAACTGTCTTTTTCTCATCGCCTTCTTGATATTTGATTCTACCAAGATCACTTTCTGTAGCACCTCTAAAGACAGTGAGAGAATCTATTAGTCTGCTAACTGATTGAACTACACGACTATGCACACATCGCACACCATCATAGTGACCATACTGTCCATCAAATTGAAAGATAACAGAGTGCCACACGCTTCTCTTATTCAGTTTACAGCCTTGGCTGAGCAGATACTTGGTAATGTCGATCTGACGATTACATAAAGCATAATGGAGAGCAGTGGTTCCAACTGCGCTGCCAATATCTGCCTCCACTCCATGACTGATTAGGGATTTGACGATATCTAAATGGCCAAAAAGTGATGCAAAATGAAGGGAAGTCAATCCAAGGTCATCTCTTTTATTCATATCGGCCCCTTCACCGATCAGATATTCCACGACATCCAAGTTCCCTTTCTTTGAGGCATTATACAAGGCACACCTACCAAAGTCATTGCTAGGATTCACATCAGCTCCTTGACTTAGCAAATATTTGATCATATCAAGGTGTCCGTTACTTGCTGCAAGTTGTAAGGCTGTCCAACCAAAAGAACCAGCTTTATTCAGCTCGGCTCCTTGACTGACTTGATCTTTCATGGCATCAAGATCGCCCCTCTCTGCAGCGGTATGAAACTCCGTCCAATGAATTATATTTTCTTTGGCAAGCTCAGCTTGCTGACTAAGCAAAGCACTTGAAACACGTACGTGACCAGCAGCTGCGGCAAGGTATAAGGCTGACCATCCTTTGTTACTAGCCTTATCAACATCAGCTCCTTGACTGATTAATTCTGTGGCAACATCAAGATGTCCTTCAGCAGCAGCTGAATGTAATGCAGTCCAGCCATCATGATCGGTCTTTTTAAAGTCAGCACATTGACTGATTAGATATTTGGTCACATCAAGATGACCATTCTGTGCAGCTGAATGTAATGGGGTCCTACCATCATTATCATCTTTATTCACTTCAGCTTCTTGACTTATCAGATATTTGGTGACATCAAAATGACAATTCTGTGCAGCTGAATGTAATGGGGTCCAACCATCATTATCATCTTTATTCACTTCAGCTTCTTGACTAATCAGATATTTGGTGACATCAAGATGACCACTCTGTGCAGCAACGTGTAATGGGGTCCTACCATCATTGCTGCTCTCATTTACTGCAGCTCCCTGACTAATCAGACATTTGGTGACATCTAGATGACCATTAGATGCAGCTGAAAGTAATGGGGTCCAACCCTCCTTATCATCTTTACTCACTTCAGCTCCTTGACTGATGAGATATTTGATGACATCAAGATGGCCATTAGATGCAGCTAGTCGTAATGGGGTCCTACCATCATTGCTGCTCTCATTTACTGCAGCTCCCTGACTAATCAGACATTTGGTGACATCAAGATGACCATTAGATGCAGCTGAAAGTAATGGGGTCCAACCCTCCTCATCATCTTTACTCACTTCAGCTCCTTGACTGATGAGTTCTTTGGTAACATCAATATGACCATTATATGCAGCTAGCTTTAATGCAGTCCAACCATCATTATCATCTTTATTCACTTCAGCGCCTTGACTGATCAGATATTTGGTGACATCAAGATGACCACTCTGTGCAGCTAGTTGTAATGGGGTCCTACCATTATTGCTACTCTCATTTACTGCAGCTCCCGGACTAATCAGACATTTGGTAACATCAAGATGACCATTAGATGCAGCTGAAAGTAATGGGGTGCAACCCTCCTTATCATCTTTACTCACTTCAGATCCTTGACTAATCAGACATTTGGTGACATCAAGATGACCATTAGATGCAGCTGAAAGTAATGAGGTCCAACCCTCCTTATCATCTTTACTCACTTCAGCTCCTTGACTGATGAGATATTTGATGACATCAAGATGACCACTCTGTGCAGCTAGTTGTAATGGGGTCCGACCCTCATTATCATCTTTATTCACTTCAGCTCCTTGACTCATCAGATATTTGGTGACATCAAGATGACCACTCTGTGCAGCAACGTGTAATGGGGTCCTACCATCATTGCTGCTCTCATTTACTGCAGCTCCCTGACTAATCAGACATTTGGTGACATCTAGATGACCATTAGATGCAGCTGAAAGTAATGGGGTCCAACCCTTCTTATCATCTTTACTCACTTCAGCTCCTTGACTGATGAGATATTTGATGACATCAAGATGGCCTTTAGATGCAGCTAGTCGTAATGGGGTCCTACCATCATTGCTGCTCTCATTTACTGCAGCTCCCTGACTAATCAGACATTTGGTGACAACAAGATGACCATTAGATGCAGCTGAAAGTAATGGGGTCCAACCCTCCTCATCATTTTTACTCACTTCAGCTCCTTGACTGATGAGATATTTGATGACATCAAGATGGCCTTTAGATGCAGCTAGTCGTAATGGGGTCCTACCATCATTGCTGCTCTCATTTACTGCAGCTCCCTGACTAATCAGACATTTGGTGACAACAAGATAACCATTAGATGCAGCTGAAAGTAATGGGGTCCGACCCTTCTTATCATCTTTACTCACTTCAGCTCCTTGACTGATGAGATAGTTGATGACATCAATATGGCCTTTAGATGCAGCTAGTCGTAATGGGGTCCTACCATCATTGCTGCTCTCATTTACTGCAGCTCCCTGACTAATCAGACATTTGGTGACATCAAGATGACCATTAGATGCAGCTGAAAGTAATGGGGTCCAACCCTCCTTATCATCTTTACTCACTTCAGCTCCTTGACTGATGAGATATTTGATGATATCAAGATGGCCTTTAGATGCAGCTAGTCGTAATGGGGTCCTACCATCATTGCTGCTCTCATTTACTGCAGCTCCCTGACTAATCAGACATTTGGTGACAACAAGATGACCATTAGATGCAGCTGAAAGTAATGGGGTCCAACCCTCCTTATCATTTTTACTCACTTCAGCTCCTTGACTGATGAGATATTTGATGACATCAAGATGACCACTCTGTGCAGCTAGTTTTAATGGGGTCCGACCCTCATTATCATCTTTATTCACTTCAGCTCCTTGACTCATCAGATATTTGGTGACATCAAGATGACCACTCTGTGCAGCAACGTGGAATGGGGTCCTACCATCATTGCTGCTCTCATTTACTGCAGCTCCCGGACTAATCAGATATTTGGTGACATCTAGATGACCATTAGATGCAGCTGAAAGTAATGGGGTCCAACCCTTCTTATTATCTTTACTCACTTCAGCTCCTTGACTGATGAGATATTTGATGACATCAAGATGGCCATTAGATGCAGCTAGTCGTAATGGGGTCCTACCATCATTGCTGCTCTCATTTACTGCAGCTCCCTGACTAATCAAACATTTGGTGACATCTAAATGACCATTAGATGCAGCTGAAAGTAATGGGGTCCTACCCTTCTTATCATCTTTATTCACTTCAGCGCCTTGACTGATCAGATATTTGGTGACATCAAGATGACCACTCTGTGCAGCTAGTTGTAATGGGGTCCTACCATTATTGCTCCTCTCATTTACTGCAGCTCCCTCACTAATCAGACATTTGGTGACATCAAGATGACCATTAGATGCAGCTGAAAGTAATGGGGTGCAACCCTCCTTATCATCTTTACTCACTTCAGCCCCTTGACTAATCAGACATTTGGTGACATCAAGATGACCATTAGATGCAGCTGAAAGTAATGGGGTCCAACCCTCCTTATCATCTTTACTCACTTCAGCTCCTTGACTGATGAGATATTTGATGACATCAAGATGACCACTCTGTGCAGCTAGTTTTAATGGGGTCCGACCCTTCTTATCATCTTTACTCACTTCAGCTCCTTGACTGATGAGATATTTGATGACATCAAGATGGCCTTTAGATGCAGCTAGTCGTAATGGGGTCCTACCATCATTGCTGCTCTCATTTACTGCAGCTCCCTGACTAATCAGACATTTGGTGACATCAAGATGACCATTAGATGCAGCTGAAAGTAATGGGGTCCAACCCTCCTTATCATTTTTACTCACTTCAGCTCCTTGACTGATGAGATATTTGATGACATCAAGATGACCACTCTGTGCAGCTAGTTTTAATGGGGTCCGACCCTCATTATCATCTTTATTCACTTCAGCTCCTTGACACATCAGATATTTGGTGACATCAAGATGACCACTCTGTGCAGCAACGTGGAATGGGGTCCTACCATCATTGCTGCTCTCATTTACTGCAGCTCCCGGACTAATCAGACATTTGGTGACATCTAGATGACCATTAGATGCAGCTGAAAGTAATGGGGTCCAACCCTTCTTATTATCTTTACTCACTTCAGCTCCTTGACTGATGAGATATTTGATGACATCAAGATGGCCATTAGATGCAGCTAGTCGTAATGGGGTCCTACCATCATTGCTGCTCTCATTTACTGCAGCTCCCTGACTAATCAGACATTTGGTGACATCTAAATGACCATTAGATGCAGCTGAAAGTAATGGGGTCCTACCCTTCTTATCATTTTTACTCACGTCAGCTCCTTGACTGATGAGATATTTGATGACATCAAGATGACCACTCTGTGCAGCTAGTTTTAATGGGGTCCGACCCTCATTATCATCTTTATTTACTTCAGCTCCTTGACTCATCAGATATTTGGTGACATCGAGATGACCACTCTGTGCAGCAACGTGTAATGGGGTCCTACCATCATTGCTGCTCTCATTTACTGCAGCTCCCTGACTAATCAGACATTTGGTGACATCTAGATGACCATTAGATGCAGCTGAAAGTAATGGGGTCCAACCCTTCTTATCATCTTTACTCACTTCAGCTCCTTGACTGATGAGATATTTGATGACATCAAGATGGCCTTTATATGCAGCTAGTTGTAATGCAGTCCAACCATCATTATCATCTTTATTCACTTCAGCGCCTTGACTGATCAGATATTTGTTGACATCAAGATGACCACTCTGTGCATCTAGTTGTAATGGGGTCCTACCATTATTGCTCCTCTCATTTACTGCAGCTCCCTCACTAATCAGACATTTGGTGACATCAAGATGACCATTAGATGCAGCTGAAAGTAATGGGGTGCAACCCTCCTTATCATCTTTACTCACTTCAGCTCCTTGACTAATCAGACATTCGGTGGTCCTACCATTATTGCTACTCTCATTTACTGCAGCTCCCTGACTAATCAGACATTTGGTGACATCTAGATGACCATTAGATGCAGCTGAAAGTAATGGGGTCCAACCCTTCTTATCATCTTTACTCACTTCAGCTCCTTGACTGATGAGATATTTGATGACATCAAGATGGCCTTTATATGCAGCTAGTCGTAATGGGGTCCTACCATCATTGCTGCTCTCATTTACTGCAGCTCCCTGACTAATCAGACATTTGGTGACATCAAGATGACCATTAGATGCAGCTGAAAGTAATGGGGTCCAACCCTCCTTATCAACTTTACTCACTTCAGCACATTGACTGATTAGTTCTTTGGTAACATCAATATGACCATTATATGCAGCTAGTTTTAATGCAGTCCAACCATCATTATCATCTTTATTCACTTCAGCGCCTTGACAGATCAGATATTTGGTGACATCAAGATGACCATTCTGTGCAGCTAGTTGTAATGGGGTCGAACCCTTTTTATCATCTTTATTCACTTCAGCTCCTTGACTCATCAGATATTTGGTGACATCAAGATGACCATTCTGTGCAGCTAGTTGTAATGGGGTCAAACCCTCATTTCCGCCGTTGTTAACCTCGGCTCCTTGACTGATCAGAAATTTGGCGACATCAAGATGACCAGTCCCTGCAGCTACACGTAATGGGGTCAAACTAAGATTTTCGCCGTTATTCACCTCGGCTCCTTGACTGATGAGATATTTAGTGACATCAAGATGACCCTCTGAAGCTCGCTGTAATGCAGTAAAACCGTTATTATCAACTTTATTCACCTCGGCTCCTCTACCGATCAGTTCTTGGATGAGGTCAAGTTGTCCATTTTGCACAGCACTGCTTAATGCACTCTGCAAATCATCAACACTGCCATCTTGTTCATTTCCCTTCTTACTGTCTCTGTGGATCGGACTTTTGGTGTTGCTTTTACGACTGACCGACTGTTTGGAAATCCTCTTGTCCATTCCTAGCGAAGGCTGGGCTCTCTCTCCTGGCTCTCGAGGTATTGTACAAGTTTATGAATTCATCGAAATCTTTTAGGGCTGTTTTAAAAAAAAATTCTCCTACATTCAGTATCTTCTCATTTTTCTGCCACATTCCTAGTGAAAGCTGGAAGCTGACATCAATTTATCACCAAACACCTAGAAGAAAATGAATATCTTAGTAGTATCGAAGTATTTAAGTCCAAAAGGAATACGGGTTTGGACAGGCACGATTAATCTACGGCCACAGAAAGATTGCCATTTCATAACTTTAGAGGGCACTATATACCGTGTGAGTCAAACAAAAGTTTACACCTAGAAAATTGCTAACTATTTAAAAAATCATCTATGAACAGTAAATTATTATACATCATATGTAAGTGTTATATCCCAAATCTTTTGGTTTCATTTTTGTGAGGTATGTGTTCATGCTTGGATGAATAGGAGGCATTGTTTGCGAGAGTGCAAAAATCGACTTGCACCAAAGTGAGGCGTAGTAAGTATTATGTTGGGATTAGCGGAGTGAGAGAATGAATTGAATGTATCAAAAGAAATGCATTGCATATGATTTTTGCAAAGGGCAAATCCACACCTTTTGTTTTGCTCAATAATTTAAGGTCAGAGGTATAACAAACTATACATTTGTGGAATCATCATGACTAGACGAGAAATTTGATCTGCATATCGACACGATGGGAATATATTTGAACGTTGACCCCTGTTCACCTTTGTTGACCCTACCGGAAATGCCTGACATTTTCAAGGGGGCAGCCCAAGTCAAAATTGTTCGGTATTCATCAGGGAACACAAAAACACTTTCAAACCTTTGTTCCCAGAATTTGGTCACGGGACCTACAGCCTGGTCTCCTACTTTATGCCGACGTGCAAATCTAAAAGTCCCTAATAACAAATCTTCAACGGAAAGAACTTTCATTAAAGGCAAAGTCCACTTTTCTACTGGGGAACGTTCCGGCATCACTTCGAACAAAAAATGATGTTCCATATGTACCAGAACCAAAATGCCTTATCCTTGCCGAAGTATAGACTTAAAAAAAACTTATGACATGCTAATGTGGATAACGTCCACTGTCCATTTCTCCCTATTCCGATAAGCTTATATAGTGGATATTGCTTCGATCAGCACGATTTAGCGGTAACGAGTCAAAAATTGATATATATTATACTGTAGGTCTACTCACTATTTCCCTAGATCCTGCTAGATGCGAAATGAATCGTGGAATGAGGCGTCGGGTCCTTTCCTCAGAAATATTTATCCAATTATAGCCGACTTAAAAGGACTCACACGTAAGCTTACACAGTTAAAAAAAAAAATGGCAACAAGTGACATGAGAGGTCTCTTCTAGAACGTGTTATAAAGGTGTCTATAATGTCTCTTTCGCAAGATAAGAGGAGACTTTGTCTCTGGGTCATGAATCCGGTGTGACAGATGCCAAAATATGTAGTGTGTCGAAGTAAATGATCTAGAAATCAAACTAATGCAGATTCTATTTGCAGAAATGTGCTTCGATCCATCAGATTTCCATGTAGAAGTTATGGATAACCCGTATAAAATGAAAGACATGGGCTACGTGAGTCTGTATTTCAACGTCTGGTGACGTGGCATTGAGCAGTTACCTAATGCACTGAGTCAGTTGGATCATGTGGTCCAAAAACGAAACCAGAGGAAAATACAAATAACTAGAGCGAATAAACCAAACAAAAGAATACATATCTCTTGCTTAATGAGTCGGTCCAGATGGACAATGTGACACAAATAGCTTCATGTGATAAAGTTGCCTGGGCATTCTGCTCAACAAGTGGAAACCTTAGTCTGTTTCCATACAGGAAAGAAACTACTTTAAATGTCGTTCGGGGGGTGGGGGATTCAACATTAATCAACTGCCATTGCATCTGAGTACTTTTCCCACAATTCAATCACTTAAATCTACTACACTAGCGAATCTAGACAAGTCCAAATCTTCTGTTGCAAATGTAAACATGTTATTTTGGGGGGTTAAAGGCATAGTTCAACAATGTTAAATCTGAGATGCACGACTCTATGTGTTATCAGTGTCTGTGATATGGTGTAATATTGAAGCCCTAAAAAAAAATTGCGCTTCAAAATGATCATGAAGTGCCTCAAAAAAGTAAAACGTTTTGAGTGACCGGTCTTACCATACTCATTTTCCCCAATAGACTGTAGTGGTTTGAAAACCGTTAGGAAAACACAAAATGAAATTTCGATTTTCAATCATAAATATCTTGATCATTAGACAGGCAATCGGCTGGTAAAAGTCATGGGATTCCTGAATGACCTAAATGTTTATAATTATGATTGCAGCATGAGCTAAATCAAGGATTTTGTTTAAGGATCTGAGACAAAGTTACCGTATCCCTTTAAGGGTATGCCAGGCTTTGGTTTTCCAGTTACTATTTGATTATGTTTTGAATTTGTACATTCGAGTTTAGTTTTATTATGATTTTGATAAATGTTTTTCTTTATTAGTATTTAAACCTAAGGAAATTAATACTAAAATTAGGAACTTTAACTCAACGATAATTTCCCCACAATGTTTAAGAAAACATTCATGAAATTCGAATGAAGCAGAACAAAATATCGAAGCATAATGCAGGCTTAGCCTTACGTTGTCTCTGCTTTGTCATGTTTGTCCCCAGCAATGGTGGTTGTGAGTGTAAGTGAAGAGGAACTCATTGATGTGGGATGTGTGTGTGTGTGTGTGTGTATGTTATTTTGGATAATAATAATGATAATAATAAATAATCATAAAAGGTTCTTGTATAGCGCACATGTCAGTCAGATTTGACCCTCCTAGCGCTCCAAATTATTACCCTGGCTTAAGCACGGCTGCCATACGGCGCTCTAGCATTTCAAGGAATAAATTCCTACCAGGTACCCATTTACTTCACCTGGGTGGAGTGTGGCTAATGTAGATTAATGTCTTGCCAAAGGACATTAGTGCGGCGGCGAGACTCGAACCGCGGACCTTATGATCGACAGTCCGGCGACGTATCCACTCGACCACAACATCTCTACAATATATGTGTGTGTTTTTTTTTTTGTTTTTTTTTTTTTGGGGGGGGGGTTGTGTAGTGAGGGAGGAGATTATGATTTGCTTCATATTATAACTTATTTCCTGTCCAAAAAATCGATTGTAATTTGTTAATTGAATTAGATTATTACAAAATAACTCTATTCTGAGAATTATTTTTACTGTTATAATATTGAGTAAAATAAAAATTACGGAAAAGCAAAAAGGAAAATGTATGTGAGGGTGAATGTGAAGTTTAAACGGGAAATTGTTGTTTGCTCTTCCAAACACACCAAGCAAACAATCAGCGAATCCAGACGTCCTTTTGATATTCTTTTCAAGATGAAGATTCCTGCAACACTCATTATATTATACGGTCTGCCAATGGAATTGTCGGTAAATAATTTTCTTGACTTGTGAATCAACTTAAAAATTGTGATTAGAGTAGATCATTGGTATGAACGTCATGGTCTGATTGACCATGTTGACGTGTAAAAGGGATTATTTGATATTCTTTCAAATTACTATAACCATGAAATAATTATGTCATTATTAGAAGGAGGCTTTCTATGTTAAGTTGAAGACAAAATATTCATCTGACAAGAGAAGATTCTACAAGTAACCTTGCTCGCAGCCCAATTAGTTATTTTCTCTGAATTAAAAACAGTGGTTATGGAACCGATCAATTGTGTGGGGAGTGTTTTTTGTTCCTTTTCTTGGTTTATATTATGTAAACTACATAAGTTTACTCATGGACCCTGGATCATTTTTGTAATACAGAGAGAGAGAGAGAGAGAGAGAGAGAGAGAGAGAGAGAAAAGAAAGTCTTTGCCTGGAAACCACACAAATCTATGTCCGATCCCAATTAGTCATACCATGATTTACGGACTGCATGGCATACTCTTTATATCATGTCACATTATCGTAGGTGAATAAGATATTTCATACGCCGACTGGGGTTGTAACTAAGGTAACAGAAGAAATAAAAACACGTTTGAAAGGAACATTCTGAAAGGAAACGAAATCATTTGTAATGAAGTTCACGCTGATAGGTTTTACATTTACCAAAAAATATGATCACTGATTGTAACCTGTAGAGCGTGGGTGGTTAGAAGCTCAAAAACATGTTTGTCAAATGGATTCTTTAGAGTAAAATTACAATGGAAAAATATTTGGAGTGTAAGCATGTCCAAATTTGGGCATTAAACTTCGTTCCTCTTTGATACAACTCAGACAGCCATATAACCAGGGCATACAAAAAAGAAACAATATTTTGGCTTCGGTTTATGACACTTTACCTTATATTCAGGTCCACTATTCTTAAAGGGACTTGGCAACATTGATCAGATGAGAGAAAATGGTGCTATGGTAGTGACTTCAATTAAATATGATCTGAAAGTTTGGGTGAAAACGGACCCTAACAAAGCTTATTAATAATAACGATTTGGGGAAAACTGATCTGATGATTTATTTCTTAATTCTCCCAACTATATATATTATTACAATTTAAATACATTTTAGGTGAATGTAAATCGTCACAAAACAATGTATTGGCTCTATACCATTCTATACATTTAAGTGTTGAAATATTTTTAAAAGCCTGTCTTATGTCTTATTTTTATGGGAAAATTCAAAAATGGTTGGGAGAATTTACTGTTAAAGGGTGTCGCACACTAGTGACGCCTTCAAATAAAACCATAAATATCTTTGTAGTTTGAGGATTTGTTCAGGATTTGTTGCATGCTAGAGGGTAAGTACGATAGTAGGAATGTGATAAGTAACATTTCATACAAACATTTCGCAGTTTTTTCTTCGACCTTCAACAATGTTACCGAGTCACTTTATCAAGATTTCACATTGATGAATATGAATCATAATGAAATTCAGGAAATAAGTGAAAACCCTTAAAGCCCCACTGTCCTACTTGTAGCTACTTGCTCCCTCTATAGTAAACTTCCCCAATCGGTGCCTGTTGGTCCCCCATGATCCTCTTTTTCTTATGTTAGTTGAGAGCTTTGTTAATGAGATAGCCACCTGTCAGTGACCTCGCTGTGTGGTCTAATCCCTTTTGGCCCAGTAGTATTGACGGTCTTTAAATCTAAATACCGAACTACATTTATACATTTAGCTATGGTATGCTTTACTTGAACCTAAGAGGGCTTTTAACCGTTAAGCTGGTGTTGGGTGCATGGATTGAGAAAAACCTGAATTTTACAGAAACAATTTTTTTTTTCTCGCAGCGTTCTACATTAGTAAAATAATATCAGAATTAGATAAAGTAAAACTACGCATATAATGATGTATATGGTGGAAAACACAAGGGTCCGAATTTCTATACTTCACTTGTTGACACTTCAAATGATCACATTAGATTCCTCCGTCCCCGGTACAAAATATTAAAGATAATGTGTACTTATTAAACATTTGTTAATGAAATTTATTTAGGCTCTGCGATCTCTAAAATAAGATACCAATGACACTCAAGTTATGTAACATAATATAGGCCGATTTTGTACTACTAAGCCGATGATGTACGAATTAGGTATATGTTGGTGTAGGAAACAAGAAAAATTGTCAGTTTTGAAACATCAAATTTCATCATAATTAAATCACTAGCTATTGCTTTATATTACAAATAAATTTGGGTGAAAGATCAGAAGAACACGTCACGACGCGTGATGTGGCACAAATGACTTTCCATACCAATACTCATGCAGGGTATAAAATGGCGCCTAAAATGTCCCCCCCCCCCCACCTTGACTATTTTTCAAAATTCGGCAATTGTTTTTCTTTGTATTACACATTTGGAGGAATGTGTGTGTGTTTGTGTGTGCGTTTGTGTGTGTGTGTGTGCGTGTGCGTGTGAAAGAGGGCATGAATACAATTTATTTTATTTTCATAAATCATCCCCCACACTTTGGGACCTGTCTTTGTATGGCCGCTATGCCACTGTTTCAATCACAAACCTTTGAATTGTGAACCTTTGGAAAACAAGTGCCTCGGCGGGGACGGGGAGGGGGGGGGGGGGGGGCAAAGAGGGGGCCCAATTTTTGAGAAAATATTTTGCGGCGAAACAGCCACCCGGTGAATAATCGGGGGGGGGGGGGTTATGGAGCACTTCTTTTTAATTTGTTTTTGCCTCCAAAAATTGAAAATCGCAGCAACCGATATTTTGCTCAGTGGGGGGGGGGGGGGGGGGGGGGGCACTAATTTTGTTTTGCCACAAAATTTTGAAAAATGCACCCCTCCCCCTTGAGCACCAGGGGAGGGGGCCCGTCTTCAAATAAAGTTAAAATTAACGTGTTTTTACCTGATTTTTTTTTCCCAGGGGAGGGGGCCCCCTTCCTTGATCCGCCACTGGGGCGCGACCAGTGGCCACCCAGATTTGTCGGCGTACGACGCAAGAATTTATGTCGCTCGAAAATTAAAAAAAAAATTCATATTGGACCCATCATAAACACACTTTTAGGCCTAGTGAATGAACGATGAAAAATAATGAAGCCAGGGAATCAATGAATTGAGAGGAGTAAAAACGTGGGCAGAAAAAAGAGAGAAAGGTGGAGAGAGAAAGAGAATGGGAGTGAAAATGTAGAGAGAGAGAGAGGGGGGGGGGGAGACGAAGGAAGAGGAAGGGGGACCCAGGGCCTTCGGGGAGCCAACGTATGTCTGCCCAAATAAATGGATTCTGCTAATGTTGCTACTGATCTTTGCGGCCTAGACTCTATATATAGAGATTTGTATATGTATATGCCTGTGTACATTTAACTGTCTTAAAAATATTTTGCTTGATATATCAGTCATGTGGTACACATTATATAGCCCCGCGGCCCCTTGCCTAAAAATGACGTTTAAAAGGGCGCCTCCTATTACATTTGAAGCGCCCACTGACCTCTGAAATTCTGAAAATCAAAGAAATCGTATGCTAGCTTCAGTAATTAAGCACGTGATATTTTGTCTGCTCACTTGTTTACGTTACGTTCACAGTGCTAGTGCACAGCACATCTGCATCGCGCTCCTCATTGTTACATCAAAGACCTTGCGAATAAGCGATCGCTGACATGACACAATTCACAACGGGACTGAAAAGCTATGTCAAGCAAGCAACTTGCTCTTTAATAACATTAATCTCTGTCAAACGAGTAAAAACAATTAAACGTCATCAACATGGGAGACTACTACGAGTATGAGAGCGATGATAATGATGATCAGAAGCAACCAATTCATCGCAAAGTCTACCCGATTTATGGACGAGACCGCGAACGCAGCTCAGCGCCCAGTGACAGTTCGACATATCTGACAGGATCGTCGAGTGCCAGTGCCAATGCATTGATGAATTTTGACAGCGATTCTCATTGCGGTATGCTGCCTCACTTTTACACCTTTTTACTACAACTCGAAATCTGCATTAATATCTCATATAGCTTACAGTTTTGCAGTATAAAAATAGGCAGGGCTCGAGTACACACACCGCAAACTTTGTTGTCCTTAAATATTTGGGGCATAGCTACATGTAGGTGGCAACTATTGAACTAGACCGAAAGCTTCAGTCTCTGAATGATATCGACGGTAGCCTATAATCTAGGCGGAGTGCCGAGCTTTTTTGTTTGCTGCTAGACTAACCTTAAGCAGAACGTCTGATACGGCGAGACTACGAACCGTGAGTCGCGAAGCGGCTCACCGCCTATAATCACTGGTCTAGCTTTAGTCGTTGTTTTTTTATTATCGACCATGAATCCGTGGCAGTTTTTCGTACGAAAACTGCCACGGATTCATGGTCGATAATAAAAAAACACCGACTAAAGCTAGACCAGTGATTATAGGCGGTCCGCGGCTCACGGTTCGTAGTCTCGCCGTATCAGACGTTCTGCTTAAGGTTAGTCTAGCAGCAAAGAAAAAAGCTCGGCACTCCGCCTAGATTATAGGCTATATCGACGGTGGTTCCGCTTCTATGGGGAGAGAAATGACCCATATCAGACGGTTATTTCTGTCTAGGTGGCAACCAAATTTTAATTATATTTTGACTTTCTATAATAATAATACGCTAAGGCTCCGCGGGGGGCGCGACGTCTCGGCGAGCCTTTGTATTCTATTGTTTTTTAATGAGATCGCCGACCCAAGTTGGTGCGGCTATCTCCTCCTGAACCCTCCCCTCGGGGTACCCGTGCCCGGTGCCGTCGTCCGCGGGAGAGTCTACTCTAGCGAATTGGCTATACTCCGCCCGAGGTCCTCCTCCGTGTCGACGTCCAGGGCGAAAACAGACGCGACATGCATAATGCAGGATATGCGTGACGACAGAGATACCTCATGGATATTCAACATTGCATCCGTAGACACACAAAATTGTATACACAAAAATCGGTCGTAAAAAAACTCGAACCATATTCCATACCTTACCTGGCTTACCATGTCGCACGCAAGTACGCCAAAACACGTACATTTTCGCAGTTGCGAGATCGAGACGGAGCGTAGGGCTCGAGTTTTTGGCGGTCGATTTTGTTTTGGTAGAAGCTGAATCTAGACCATGAACCACTAAACATCGCGAAACTGCAATCAATTTCCATCACGAATTCACGATTGCTGCAATATTATAAAGTTTCCATAAATAGAGGTATGAAATTAAAGCCTATTTTGTGATGTTCTCACCGTGTTTACGTAATTTTGATAATCATTTCTTCAAAGTAAAGAAAATCAGACAAAATCACCGTAACTGACAGTGCATTGCCACTGTGTAGTGTGTGTGAGATGAGCTGAGTTGCAGTTGAAAGTGTGTGAGTTGAATTCGAGTCGAAGAGATTTGACACTTTGAAATTGTTATCTGTTGGTTTGCATCATTATTGCCGCGATTTCAATATAGTTTCGTGAATAGATTTACGAAACCTGAGCTTAGAATTAGTAAAAGTATTACTAGACTGTAATGTCTACGTTTTTAAAAGACTGTTTGATTTTCCTGTGAAAATTTTACTTTGAAAAATGATTATCGAAATTCATGGTCAGAAATAATCACAATCTAGGGTCTATTATGTTACAGTTCTTGCATCAAATCAATGCATGAAAACTTAGTTATTGAACTAGAAAAATGTTTTGTTTTTTTAAATAGGCAATTATGAAGTAGGAAGCCTGAAACCTAATAGCCTACTAAACAAATCTCAACAAAGTGTAGGCCTATCCTTATATGAATTAATGAAAAAGTAGCCCCAGAAAAAAGAGCCCCAGAAAATTTCCCTAAAATTTGAAATGGAGCCCCCGAAATGAAAAACTTAATTATTTGCCTGCGCACCCCCTCTAGAATCCCGCGGATTTCCGCGGGTCCTGAGTTGAGTGTATATATAATATAGGCGTGGGGTCCACGGGTTTCAAGGGGCCAAAAACCCCCAAAAGCTCGGGGGTTACGTTTTTCAACGTTGGGGGGGGGGGGGAGAGATCAGATCGCAGCGAGTTGAGTGTATATATAATATAGGCGTGGGGTCCACGGGTTTCAAGGGGCCATAAACCCCCGAAAGCTCGGGGGTTTTAGGCGTATAGGGTCAGATGAGCATATTTTTAATACTTTATTTGTGACACTTGCGGGTCACTAATTGGCGTGGGGTCAATACGTAGAGTTGCGTAGTGTTGCGTAACAACTACGCTGGCCTACGTTACTATATGCTGAGGGACGGAAAGGGGTACGCAAGATGAACGAAAACAATTCAACCTGTTTAATTTTTTTCGCCAGCCTACGCATAACCTACGCAGGGACTATTTCCCCATTAATACGCAGCCTAATTTCTGCGTAGTCGGTACGCCACACTACGGAACTCTACGCAGTTCCAGTGGCTTAAAGAATAACTACCGGTACAGTTGGATCGTTTTTTTAATTTTTATATAAGGACAAATTAAAAAAAAAACATGTTTAGCTTCCTGTTTTTTCGAAAAATGGGAAGGAGGAGGCCCTTTTTTTTCTTTTTATTTTCTTTCAAAATGGCCGCTTCGTATATTTTTTCTGACATTCAGGCTATTTTTCAAGATGGCGGCCGACAATTTTTTTTTCTTTTTTAAAATCAGAAATATATTTTAGCAGTGCTTTTCATGTTTTTTTTCTTTCAAAAAAAAAAAAAAAAATTTAAAAAATAATAAAAAAATAGGAGGCGGCCCCCAAAAAGGAAGCAGGCGGGGACGCTGTTTTTTTTTTCTTAAAAAAAAAAAAAAAAAAAAAAAAAAAAAAAAAAAAAAAACTTTTCAAAAAATTTCAACAAAAAAAATAGGAGGCGGCCCCCAAAAAGGAAGCGGGCGGGGACGCTTAACATGTATATTTCTTAATGGTTTTAATTTAGACAGTCTCTATATATCTATTTACACCCCCCGCCCCCCTCTAGGATCCCGCGGATTTCCGCGGGTCCTGCTAGTGTAATAATAAATAAATATGGACGGTTCCTTGGCATGCTTGGTGGCTTGGGCTAGCCTTATTTTTAATTGGCACACATACCCCGGTGTCTGGTCAGGTCGCCCCCAAGCCGGTCGCCTCCTATACGCAGTCGCCTCCTATACGCAGTCGCCTCCTAACGTAGTCGCCCCCAAATTGTGTGGTCGAGTCGCCTCCTATACACAGTCGCCTCCTATACACAGTCGCCCCCTATATACACAGTCGCCCCCTACGTACAAAGGCAGTACGCTAGCGCAGCGGTCAGAAGCAGGTTATTTAATGTAATGATGTCCACCTTCTTCTAGATAACTATTTTGTGCTAAAGTATAATGTGATAAACGTTTCATTTTATGTTGATGCAACAGAGATTTACATTCAAAGGTTTTACTTTTTATAATTGTACAGTAATATTCTTCTCATTTCGACATTATCAGCCACTGGTTCTCTGTTTCATTCCCTAAACTTAATAAAAGGTATGTGAGGGGGGGGGGGGGGTTAGAAAGTTGGACGTAGCCTGTATAGACCGTACTGTATTCATTGTTATGATATTTGTCTCTCCAATCACTCCCTTCCGGCTCTGATTTTGTTCTTTAGTTTTTTCTCTTTTTCGTGTGATTATATCTTTTCGCTAAAGTATAATTTCAGACGTATACCATCAGGAATATGTTATAATAATTAATCTCAAGGAAGGGATGATGCCTGGATACAAGCAAATGGCGGAATAGACAACATTATGGAAGATGAAGATGGACATAGACAGAGAGAGGGAGAGAGGGGGAGAGTGGGTTGGCGGGAGATAGAAAGTTGGACGTAGTCTGTACTGTATTTATTATTATGATATTTTTCTCTTAATCCTTGTCTGAATTCAGTTTTCCCTCACCGCGCTGACGTTTCATTAAATTATTAGAGAATGGTTTTCGACTCTTAATCCTTGTCTGAATTAAGTCCCCCCCCCCCCTTCCGCATGAAGCGCGGAAGCTTTGACGTTTCATTAAATTATTAGAGAAAGAACAAAAAAGACGATTCGTTGTACCGACTCTTCATCATTGTTTGAATTATCAAAAATGTTTCTTTGTTATTATTATTGTTTCAGCGTTATCCTCCGCGCGCTTTATAATAATGAAGGACAAAAGCGCCGCGACATAGTAATAAGGTATGTATTTGGAAGAATAACTGCTTTTTATTTGTGCACAGATTAAAAGAAAAGTGACATCTATACACAAAATAAACACAAATTATTATACAGGTTAAGGTTGGAACCTACTAGTGCTTTCGAATACTTGAAAAGATGAGCAGATGTCCCTTACAATATTCATTAAACAAAATCACGCACTTATATATATATATATATATATATAATGAATTGAGAGTAAAATTAGATAACGTTTCGTTCATTTGGGTTTACTGCCGAAAGCTTTTATTTCGATCTATTTGCTTCATATAAATTTATATAAGTCATATCAATTATAGCTCACTTTTAATTCAATGTAGAGACATTCTCTTCTATTTCTATTTTTAAACTTTTACAACTATCTCATGACGACACGTTCTAGTATGGGTCTTGTAAGTAGTGAACACAAACTATATGGGATTAAAAAGGGATCTGAAAATGCTCTAATTTGCTTGCGTGTACAAAGTATACTTGAGAAAAGCTAAGAAAGCCAATCTATTAAATCCTTATTATCTCTATAGCCTGTGGATACTCCCTTAAGTTCCGTCACTAAGCCAGCCAGAACGATTTATTTATTTATTTATTTAAAATGGTTTATTTCATTAAAAAACATTCGCGGCCCGAGAGCCGAATCAGTTTCTTTTACAAAGTATACATCAGTGACAAAGTAAAATTACACATAAAAATTATGCATGGTAGCATAATGGTAGTAAAATTGCAATTCTTTTGTACATAATTGTGCTTCAACGACCTTGGCAAATTGCTTGGTACACTCTGAAAACTGAAATGTTAAATCACAATTTAAAAGGGCCGAGGAGTGACCACTCTTTCAAAATGGTAGATTAACACTTGAACATGCTGGATCCAACACTATAAAGGTCGAATCTAGCAGGTTAAAAGAAACAATCTGACATTTTAAAAGAGTGGTCACTCCTCGGCCCTTTTAAATTTACATTTAACATTTCAGTTTTTAGAGTGTACATATACAGAAATCTGAATTGTATTACCATATTTGCAATTAAATTATATACTGAACTTATACAATATATGAATAGTGATACATTTTTGATATTCAAAAGAATTAAATGTTTTAGTTGGAAAATGCGTAGCCAGATGGGTATGGTTATATGGTATGGTTATGGTGTTTTCTTCAATAACAGAAACAAAGACAACAACAGAAACCAAATCCAGGAATTATAAAGTCAAATAGATGCTCCAGTGATTTAAACAGATTATACATTGTAGGCAAAATGCAGAACATTGTGTATTTGGGCCAATTTACTTAAAGGTACATGTAGAATATGATATTGCATAAAAATAAGATAAGTTTCGCATAAAAAACATGGGTAAAAGTTTGCCATTGTAATATTCGATATAATGTGCATCATCTTGGGAATTGTTAAAAAGTCAAACAGGATTTTATACAATTAAAACTGATTTAGTTTAAAAAAAGTAAAATTCTATATTCTAACCCTAGTAACATTATTAAAAAATCCATTCAAATGTCACCCTTTTATTTAAGAACTTATACCAGAGAAAGAGAGAGAGAGAGAGAGAAAGAAGGAGAGTGAGAATAGGGAGAGAGAGGGGGTGGGAGAGAGATAGGGAGAGATATAGGGAGAGAGAGAGGAGAGAGAGATAGAGAAAGAGAGAGAGAGAGAGAGAGGGGGGGGGGGGGACAAAGAGTGAGAGTAACAAGACAGTGAGCTAGCCAGAAAGCCATGAAGAGGGTCTCCCCGCTTCGCAGCACAGCACTGACAGAGAGGAGACAATAATATTGAGAGAGTGATCGATGTGTTAGTACGTAAGCTGGTGGAAACTTAGATGCAAATATCCTCGAAAATATGCGTTACAATGGAAAACTCGAGGAAAATTTTCAATATTTAGTAATATAGAACTGAGATGCCAGGAACTAAAAATGGCTTGACTTTGAACTTGTAAAAGACATCAAATTAAAACAACAAATTAGGGGGCGAGCTGACCAAAAAACTGGGGGCGAGCTGACCAAGAATCCCAAAATCGGCAAACAAAATCGGGAGGCGACATGACCAATTAAGGGCGACTTTGTAAGGGGGCGGGCTGACATTAGGCGAGCTGACATGGAACCCATACCCCTGCCTGTGTGAAGAGTGATTTAAACAAAATCTAAAATGCGCTCGTAATCGCCCTTTCCTGCACCAGACAAACCTTTCAAAATACCTTTGGGGTTGGACTCTTGGAGTTCATTAATAGATTCTTCTTTCTACTCGTAAAAAGCACTTTGAAATCGGTCAAGCATTGCATAAAACATGTGACAATTAATAGATCGGATTCTGAGTGATAGTAACATACATGTAGACTCTATGATATACTAACACTTAACAGTGACTAACCTTCCAGTAACTCCAGGGAGCTCCGACAAAGGCCTCGGCGGTGGCGGGGGGGGGGGGGGGGGGGTGTTTCATAAAGCTGTTCGTAACTGAGTTACGCATGACTTTACGAACGACTTGTATATGAAGTGCCAGATAGGATGCCCAAAGTTTTTCCTGATGATTTAACAAAGTGTGACTATTATTATGGCAAAAAATATACTTTGCCATAAAAACGTTTATTTTAATAAGAATGTTAATCTACATCTGCACAGTTTAACTTTAGTTGATGCAGCTAATAAGGAATTGAGCATACCATTTTGCACTTCATATTTAAGTCATTCATACTCATAGAGTCATGCGTAACTTTACGAATAGCTTTATGAAACACCTCCCTGGTGTTCCTGATGAAAATGAGCTAACATGTGAAAAACGCTGACCTATCACAAATATTCACGATGGTGGTTCTGGCAGACACGCAAATACATGCATTGTACATGAAAATAGCTGTTTCTCGCGTTGCCAATTTGTTATTTACTTTACAATACAGCAATTAGTGTCCAATGGACAGCTAAATTGAACTTGAAATGTATTTTTGTTTCTATTCTGTGTTTAGATCCCAAGGCCCTTCTGCAAGCTGTGGTCTTTGTCGAAGATGCTGTCAAATTCAGGAGTATCAAACACAAGATAGACCCCTTCTCTCTCTGGTACTACCGGGTCTACTACTCCAGGCCAATTCAGTGGTAAGGTTGTTCAATGTAACTCTTTGCTTCCTTTAGTTAACTGATGGAACAATCGCTGGAATACCACATTCAATTTTTGCTTCATATAACACTTTGCTTGCTGTAGTATAGACTTATTAAACAACCACTTAGTCCAGAATCTTGCCTATTTAATTTTGATCTCCACCACACCAACGCTACCTACTTACTTGCTACCAGCCGAAGATGGCTTGATCATTAAACTAGTACGCCCAACGAAAAATGGGCTGGTGAGCATAATTATGAGTTCGTTCATAAGGGCATCTTCGGCGGCTTGAATCAATTGTAGGGAGTATAATATGAAGAACCGGCTAGATTCTGGACTACATGTAGAGGTGTTGTGGTCTAGTGGATACGTTACAGAACATGGATAACATGGTTTGCGGGTCGATTTCTGCCGCTGCACTTCCATGTCTGTCCATTTGCAAGACATTAATCTACATGCTCTCAAGTCTTGGAGTATCAAACACAAGTTACCCATTCCCTTCACCTGGGTGGAGAGTGGCAAATGTAGGTCAATGTCTTGCCAAAATTAATCAAACACAGTCTGTACGCCGCTGCACGAAAACCGCCCGTATTTATCGTAGTCGTATGCAAGCCCAGCGGTCAATATGAATACGTAATGAGCACACAAGCTTGAAAACACCGACTTGTTTCCACCTACACAAAATGGTTTCTTGCTAATCATTTAGCATAAACGATATGTCAAATTGAAGACAAGAAACTGCTCTTTCATTAATCTGAATTAGAAATAAACTGGACTCCATTACCTTATGAAATATTTCCTGTCAAGTACAAGCTTACTTTTTCCGTATTTTCATCGAGTTTATGATGAAAGTGAATGCATAAAAAACATATAAAACGAGTAGGAACCTCATCAATCTTTATATTTTTGGAGAGTTTAGACATCATTCTTTGTATGGTGTGAAGATCAGGTTATTTGATTTTTCGAACGGGTCAAGTTCACGGTTTTAAAAAATAGTTCCACATTAAGAAGATACATGAATACGAAGATTTCCGATCACCTACCGAACGACCATTCGTCAAAGGTGAACGAACTTGTGACTTCGCGGTTTGTTTTCTAGGCACGAATAATGGCGTTATTTCAACATTTTAACCCTATTTCATGTAATTATCTTGGTATTTATCGATTACTAAGATTAACTATGGGCAGTGATACGATTGATTTTGGAAAATTTAGTGTTCGTTTCAAGAAATTTCAATTTGAAGAATAGTATGCGCCCACTCATACAAATTTGTGTAACGAAATTATACGACTTCACCGATGTCTGAATCAGCGAGTTCAGCTGTGTGGGTAGGCGATTTTGAGCAAAATGCAATTGTCATCGAATTTATCACCTAAAGAAAAAATAAATAAAAATCCCATTATTATTTACGGTTATTAGTGGTATGGTGAAGTTCACAGTTGTTAGTACAAAGTTGCAAAACATAATATTGCACTTTATACTATAGACTATACGCCAGGAATGTAAAGTCCAATATCTCTCTGCTTAATTGTTGTTTTTTTCTTCCCAAGAAATGATATGTGAACATGTCGGTTCCAATGCAGTGATTGACACTACACACAAATAAATAAGTTAAAAATACACGGGGGCAATTTTCCCTTCAAACCTTTGAAATTCGGAGGGCAAAGCAATATTCAAGTCATTCTGTTTACAAGGCGAACTGAAGTCACTCATGAATTTGGTCCTGCGAAGGGTTGAGGTTGACATTCCCGTTAACAAAGTAACGCCTTCAATAAAGAAACACAGTCCTCTGATCAGTCATACAGTTCACGCATATACACAAACGGTATGTTTCTTTTGAACAATTGTTTTTATTTTTTATTTCTCTTTGAATACAAAAGACAACTTGGCAAGGTTAAAAAAATACATGTTTTGGCAGATATTATTATTCATAAGCTAGTCCAGCTGGGACACACACAGTACTGGCTAGTTTAAGGCACTAAAGCACGGAAAATACAAAAATCCTAAGTTACAATGAATAATGTTATAACACGAATAACTTAAGTTGCTCATGTATGTACATGCTACATTCTGCCGTAATATATATTAGAAGACTGTACAAGGAATACGGTAAGTGTGCAACATAAACTATTATAACAAAAAAGAATATAATATGTAATACAAACAAAATGGAGCACTAAATCAGATAAAGAGTATTGTGCATAACACTGGTTTGCATTCATACATGTGATGAATACATACTGGTAAGTGGTTTTCTATATTTAGCAAAAGAAAGAAATGCTGAAAGAACACAGGCTGCAAGGTGAACATGATCACTACCGGTAGAAGCAACATACATTGTCAAAGTTAAAATCAGTGACAGATAAAGAATTAGTTAAATATTCCAACTAAAGTGTTTCGCCTGTTTACAGAGAAATTCATTTCCGTTATTGACAACATTTCGGAACTGCATGTTCACCTCTGAAGGTGAACTAAACTGTGAGGAAAAGGATGGTCTATTGGGCATATCTTGGGCACTATTCTTGTCAATTTGTAATGATCTCAATTTAGAAACTGAAATATGCCATGAACGTATAACATAATCATGAGACATCTCTGCACTGTAAAAAGATATTCCCCTCCTACCAGCATCTCTATGTACAATCAAAAGCTCACCGAACTGGTATATAATCTTATCCTTTACAAATAATGGACTTTTATTTACACAGTCATACTGTAGCGCATCACAACATCTTTTTGAGACAAGATCATAAAAATATTCATAAACAGTTATGAATAAAAATAACCATCCTCAAGACACAGTCTACATTTATACAAATAAACATTTAGAATTTTGAGTAAAAAGTCTTCGTCCGAATCTGATGCAAGCACTCGGCTCTGATGCGAATTTTCCATACTTCTAAGTGACATTTTATTAGCACTACTTTACTTTATACAATACATGTAGCATGGTCTACATGTATGGTGACCTTGTGTTCCTGAAAAGTCTTCATTTATATCACCCAATCTTTTCAATTCACTTTCAGGAATATCTTTACAGGTATATGTTTTATCATCAGAAGTCAGTAATGCTTCACAAACAGAACAGGAACGATAACTTCTAGATTGCTCAAAATGTCCCAATTCAAATCTATGTTTCATGCATAAAGGTATAGTAGGTGGAATTGAAGTGCATTCTTCAGAAAATGCAGCATTGAATTATTCTAATTCACATTCACAATCTCTTAATAATTTGAGATTGAGATTGAGATTGAGATTGAAAAGGTTTTATTGATTGCACTTCGCAGCCAGATGGCTGAATTATGAACAATTTACATTGGCAATGAATTATAATACATACAAATGTGGTTGACATTGTCACAAAGTATAATATACAGTATATAACAAAATTCATAACAAAGTTCATAACTAATATGACTAAGGCAATAACAGGCAAATTAATTCACGTTTAAAATATATTTTGTGAGGTGACACAAGAGTAGGTCAAAGGATGAGCAAGCAGGCCCTTTGCTCTTCAATACACGCTCTCATTCCTATACACGCTCCTATTCTCACTCCTGTACCTTGGACACTCTCATAAACACTCACATTTACACTCCTATACAAACTCCCATTCACACTCCCATACACTAGCTAACGGTCTGCTCGCTCATCCCTGGACCTCTCTTGTGTCAAGGAGTGTCGGGTATTTAAAAAAAATAAACAACAAAACAAGTAAGCTCCTTCCCGACTTTCGTAAATTGGGGGGAAATAAGCAAATGAATTAAAAACTTGAACACCATTTGATCTGAATTGCCATGTCATGATTGCTACAAAACCTTATCACTATTCAATGTACATTTTAAAAAAATATTACAAGTAATTATGGAAGCATAGAATTTAAAATTTAAAATGCGGAATGTAAAATGTAAAAATGTAAAAATGTAAAAATGTATGCAGACAATGAGACACCGGACCATTCAACAGGTAGACAATTTATCAACACAACGGTCATAATGGAACAGAAATAAATAATTCTTTCTTTTTTACGTGTCTTTTGGGTTTTTCAATTTTCTAACATATTTTTTTCTGCAACCACTACAAATACAGTCTGTCATTTAGATATCGGTATTACGTTCCGTAATGATAGCTACAAGGGCATTAGATTTCATAGTACATAAATGGGGCCAAGGAGCCAACTTATCCTTCACCCCAGCAGCAAGAACGATTGATGTGATGTACAGGCTGAATTTTCTACTTCATCCCTCATGGTGATAAAATCACAATGCTTAATCTGAAAATAAGATAAGAGTCAAAGAAAAACTGACTTAATATATCATTAAAACGTTAATTGATCATCTTGCAACTTCAAAAGTTTACTTGACAAACGGTTGACATTCATAAGTTAAGGAGCAAGATTAATTATATTAGTTCAAATAAAAATAATTTTCCTGTATTTTCACAATGCTTTGGTTAGATTACAACCTAGGAACACTGTTTATATACCAGTAATGGAAACAAAATGAAGATTTTTATTTTATGAATTCACTTATTCGTTCTTGAGGAAGAAGATTTCTATTTAATAATGTCACTCGGGTGGAGTGAGATGCTGCGATGCATGAAAACAGCTCAGCCATCTACTACCCTCGAGAATGACACCATTTGGGGAAATCCATGTTGCCCTCTAGGGAAGTCGACAGCTGAGCCGTTGTGCAGTCCCTCGCTCCGCCCATGTCATGTCAACATTCACAAAACAACATGCTATCGTGAAGTCCATAATGTTACCATGGTGGTTAGCATTCATTGAGGGGATAATTACTGAATAAATGGTAACTTTAATGAACAGGATCTTGTTTTTTTCCGAGAATAAACAATAAAATGTGATTCAAAATGAGTTTAATTTGAATTTACTTTGAGAAAGCACTTTATAATTTCCATGTACATAAAATAAATGAAATCACAACTTACTTTGTTTCCAGGTTGCATCTTGAGGTCAAGATCAAGGGGGCGATCAGTTGGAAGAGGGCTAGGGGTCACATGACTGGTTGTGAAGCCTATGGGAGATCTTTTACAAGTTGTAGGAAGGACTGTGTACAGCTCCGCACCTGGAACAAAATTATCAACATTAGACAGTGAATGAACAACGCAGGTTGTTTTAATATACAAAGCAATCTACATGACATTAAACAGTTATGCATCAAGATTTCCTAATCATGTATTAGAAGAGGAAATGAGAGCAATTACTATATTTTCCTATGGGAGAACATAAATGAACTTTTTTCACTAATCAGAAATTTCACTGACTGCTCTTTAGGGATACAAATTTCCATGTAAATGCAATAAATGAAATCACAACTCACTTTGTTTCCAGGTTGCATCTTGAGGTCAAGATCAAGGGGGCGATCAGTTGGAAGAGGGCTAGGGGTCACATGACTGGTTGTGAAGCCTATGGCAGATCTTTTACAAGTTGTAGGAAGGACTGTGTACAGCTCTGCACCTGGAACAAAATTATCAACATTAACAGTGAATGAACAACGCATGTTGTTTCAATATACAAAACAATCTACATGACATTAAGCAGTTATGCATCAAGATTTCCTAATCATGTATTAGAAGAGGAAATGAGAGCAATTACTATATTTTCCTATGGGAGAACATAAATGAACTTTTTTCACCAATCAGAAATTTCACTGACTGCTCTTTAGGGATACAAATTTCCATGTAAATGCAATAAATGAAATCACAACTTACTTTGTTTCCAGGTTGCATCTTGAGGTCAAGATCAAGGGGGCGATCAGTTGGAAGAGGGCTAGGGGTCACATGACTGGTTGTGAAGCCTGTGCGGGATCTTCTACAAGTTGTAGGAAGGACTGTGTACACCTCTGCACCTGGAACAAAATTATCAACATTAGACAGTGAATGAACAACGCAGGTTGTTTGAATATACAAAGTAATCTACATGACATTAAACAGTTATGCATCAAGATTTCCTTATCATGTAAGAAATCACTACTGTATTCTATGGGAGAACATACATATGTAAGTGTATTTTTTTATAGTTTCACTGACTGCTATTTAGGGAAACAAATTCCCACGTGAATAGAATAAATTAAATCACAACTTACCTTGTTTCTAGGATGCATCCTTGAGGTCAAGATCAGGGGGGGGGTCAATTGGAAGAGGAGGGCTAGGGGTCACAACTTCTATGAGGGCCTGTGTACATCTCAGCGCCTGGAACCAAAAAAACAAAGACAAAACAATTAACACAGAATGAACACAAGAAATAAATCAAACATTCAAGAGTGATTTCCTCAACAAATAAAAAAGCTAGCAAGAACTATAGTTCTCTACCCCTGGGCAAAACATGGAATCCCATTTCACAAATCAGATTATCATTAACTTTTATTTAGGGAAATATGTGTCTGTGTAAAAGTCAATATACACAAATGCACACAATGAATACGATGTGGCTGACCGGCAAGTTTGACAGTATGACATGCGATTTGAATTTTTTAATTATTTTTCTAACATCGGTGAGTTGAATTTTTTTTATTTTTTATTGCTATTTAGGTGTCATCAATTGTCACTAAAGTACCAATTTAAAGTGAAATCAGTTGAGTTTTGTACAGTGGTGTTTGAAATGTTGAGATTAAAAAGAACAGCTTTTAATACACAGCCAAGGTCGTAATTTAATGCAGCCATGTAAGTCTAGACTGACTAGAGTCTAGACCACACAGCATTACTATCCTGGCTGTATATTAAAAGCTGTGCTATTGATTCTCAACATTTCAAACACCACTGTACAACACTCAACTGATTTTACTCAAAATCGGTACTTTAGTGACGATTGATGACACCTACATAGCATTAAAATACAATTTTTTCAACTTTCCGATGTTAGAAGGAATTATTTAAAAATTCAAATTGTGAGTCCACTGTCAAACTTCCGATCAGCCACATCGGCATGATTGTGTGCATCTCTGTGTGTTACGAGTGTATCGACTATTCATGTAGATCTATTCCAATCCTGCCTATGCAGTGCAGTGCTACTGGTCAATACGCAATAGCATTGACTCATCTTGACTTTTAATAGAAGTCTAGATCAAATCCTATTTGGAATTCAATCTAAAAACGTTATTACTAATAATCCCAGTCCCATTTGATGCCTGAACACGTGAGGAAACTGAAATTCAACAAAAAATGAAATAGTTTCGGTCTTTGAGCCAACAATTGCACTGAAGACTCCATGAAAATCTATATGTGGGACAACACTATACGATCGGTATGCACTACGCCCATTCGCGCGCGTTTTACTATTTTTAGACCATTTCGCGCCAGTTCACCCAACTTCGAGTACGTATTTCCGGTGAAAACATGATTTTCTCGTGAATTTGGGGAGCAGAATTCACTAATTTCCTGTTGAGGAACCTCAAATTGGACAACAGATTTGGCAATTTCAGACATTGCTGAACACATATCGACATCAAATGATCTTTTTCTAGTTTCGAACGGGTCAGGTTCACGAAAACAATTTTAGTTACAAAACTAGGAACGAAAACTTCTCAAAATTAGGCTTCATTGCATGATGCTGTAAAACCGTAAATTTTGCGGAAATATATCAACATTTCATATCATTCGAAAGGAAATTTTCTGGAGATCGACTTACCCAAACATGGCTGCTCAAAAACTGAGCATGCGCGAGAAAATAGAGTCTACGTCATCCCTTCCAGTATTCTCGCACGATCTCGTAACTTCTCGTTTGTGGATATTATTCATCGAGCTGTTTCCATCGCACGATAACGCTCGCACGATATGCTCATTAGCGAGCGTGCAGCGGGCTGACTGAACAGGTAGCCTTTTGATTTCTTCCTTGCACATTTATTTTAGCTATCTAAATTATCTATCTGTTTTCACAAAGCTTAGCATTTGTTACCGGTACTTGAAAAAACAAAGAAGGAATACAAATGCTTGAATGAAGGAAATTCAGAGGAAGGATGTATTGTTACTTCCTTCCGTCCAATGTTTTAACTTGCACGTAACCTTGGACTTTTAAGGCAAACAAGCATGTCAGCTTTATGTCTGTAGCACTCAGTGGCGGATCCAGGGGAGGGGGGGGGTGCCCAGGGGGCCCTGGCCCTCACCTTGGAGATGCCCCCCCCCCCCCTGGCGCTCAAGGGGGGGGGGGGTTGCGATTTTTCAAATTTTCGAGGGCCCCCAAAAAAATTAGTGCTCACTACCTCCCCAATAAAAATTTCAGCACACTAAATTTCAAATTGATTTCAATTTGGCCCCCTCCCTAAGAAATCCTGGATCCGCGCCTGGTAGCACTAAACTGCACCTTTGTCGTATGGAATCTACAGAATTTATGACAAGATTTTTTTTTGGGGGGGGGGGGAGTGCTGGGTGAATCCACGCCGACCGTATTAAGTAGATTCAATAAATGCAGAAAAAGTTTTAATAAAATTAAAGATTATATTTGATCGAATACAGAGATCCTTCCCTTTTCTCAGTTTATCTTTGAACAGAACTTACAGCCACAAACAAGGGGTAAGCTTTCCACATGTTAGATAGAGAATTCAAATTAAAATGTTTCTTGTCATTAGACGGCACATTAAACTTATCACTAATGTAATGTAAGTGTTTATACTGTACAAAGCACTGTACATGTTTCACTCCAAGTGAAGAGTTTAGTTTTGCACACAACTATGGATTTATTACTTATGGATTTTCCTTTAAAGCCTGTCTGCACTAGTTTGGCCAGGAGGGATTAGATCTCCCAGCGTGGTCACTGACTGGTAGTTATCCCATCGAATCAGCTCTCAATTAACATTTTAAAAAAGAGGATCATGGGGGACCAACAGGTACCGCTTAGGCATTGTTTTCTATATAGAGAGAGCAAGTAGCTACAAGTAGTGCAGTGGGGGCTTTCCCTTTAAAACTCTACATACAGTACATGTACATGTAGTTCACAGCATATTTTGAATGTGTGGCGTGGGTTTCACATAGTCAGCAACAAACCAACCACATCCCCTGTATAAATATAGACTAAAGAATGACTAAAGAATTCTGATGTAGTTCATTGATTTTGATATCAATGCCGGTTTGAATAATATCATAACAATAGGGTTATGTTGACAGCAAGACACAATCAACATGACTCACATTGGGCTCAAAGGAACATTAGGCCTGTTTTCACTATCTCGAGATTGCCAAATATCCAGCTATTTGAACTATCTCGATCGCAAACTATCCAGCTAATTTGCGTCTTCATTAGACTGAAGTAGCAATTAGCGGGATATTTGGTCGGGATCGTCATCCCAAGATATCTTGGGATAGTTTGCAAAATAAAGTTTCGAGGTCGTAATCTCGAGCTGATGAAAAGGCGATTTGTTACTTCAGGATTATTTCCCAAATCACAAATAGCGGGCTATTTGGCAATCTTGTGATGATGAAGATGCGCCTATTGACAGAAATGTTTGCTATTGCCTGGTTTTCGTACCAGTTTCATAATTACAGAGTAACATTATTTTTCTTTAATATTATTATTACTTATTTGACCAAACAGTATAAGGGAGTGGGTATCTTTGCCTCAGATTCTAAACAAAAGCTTGGATTTAGCTCATGCTGCAATTATAATAAACCGGTAATGAATCTTTAGGTCAGTCAGGAATCCCATGACTTTTACAAGCCAATCGCCTGTCTGATTAAAAGATATCTATGATTGAATTAAAATTTCACAAATCGTTTTCCCAACGGTTTTGAACAGCTTTTATAACACTACAGTCTATTGGGGAAACCAAAGATTTTTACTTTTTTGAAGCACTTCAATGACTTCATGATCATTTTCATACACCATATCACAGACACTGATAACACGTAGGGCTATGCATATCAGATTTGTAAAACTGGAACATTGTTAAACAATGGCTTTAAGAGGTGAGAGTCAAATATGTAATAAGAATACAGGTATGAAAGAATAAAAGGAGTGGGAGCAGTATAGTAAGTAGGTCAGGGTAAACAAACGTGAACTGCAACACTGTTGCCCGGAGGCGTGTGCCCCCGCTCTTGCTACATAGTCCCGGTAAATTTACATAATACAATCTCTACATTAAAGATAAACTTGAGTACTAGTAATGCGATTGCATTGTGAAAGAAAAGGTGTGGAATGGATCAGAAAAGTTGATCATATAGCATGCAAGTAATGGTGTGTAATGCAAGGTTCTGGAGTCATCAAAATCATCATAAATTTGGCAGAGTCTTGGTAAAGTAACAATCACTTACACAGAAAGATGTATATGGGACAACACACATGGTGTCGGGGCTAGTACTACCCTGATTTCCTTATCTTTCTATGCTCATTACTTAGCCAGTATACATTTTCTTCCAAAATTGTTTGGCACATGACATTTATTTGTAATCTTGAACATTCAGTGTAAGTTTCGTTAGATTCTGTGAGAATTCCCCATAGGAAAGAAATGAGCCTGCCGCATACTCCTGCGGCAGACTTGCCGCAGATCTGCGGCAGACCTGCCGCAGACAGTCATCTTTTTCACATGCAAATTAGTTTTGCCGCAGACTTGCCGCAGACTTGCCGCATACTCTTTCAGTATGATGAAGAGTCTGCGGCAGACCTGCCGCAGACTTGCTGCAGACCTGCCGCATACTCTTTCAGTATGATGAAGAGTCTGCGGCAGGTCTGCCGCAGACTTGCCGCATACTCTTTCAGTATGATGAAGAGTCTGCGGCAGGTCTGCCGCAGACTTGCTGCAGACTTGCCGCATACTCTTTCAGTATGATGAAGAGTCTGCAGCAGGTCTGCGGCAGACCTGCCGCAGACCTGCCGCAGACCTGCCGCAGACTCTTCATCATACTGAAAGAGTATGCGGCAAGTCTGCGGCAAGTCTGCGGCAAAACTAATTTGCATGTGAAAAAGATGACTGTCTGCGGCAGGTCTGCCGCAGACTTGCTCGAACTTGCCGCATACTCTTTCAGTATGATGAAGAGACCTGCTGCAGACCTGCCGCATACTCTTTCATATCCAGTACGTGGCAATAAAGTATGCATGTAGAAGAACCAGTGATAAACTGATTGATACTTCATAATCAATATTGGCAATATCGATATTACCAATTAGGTAATACCAATATATGTCGATATTACCAATTAGGTATATTCTATTCTCAATTGTATTAACTTCATCACATTGATCATTTGAAGTGTATTCAAGAGTAACATTTAAAGTGACACAGGCTCGTACACATATATATACTAAATATGTATATTGTTTCTTGGTTAGTAATCATAGTTTCTTGGTTAGTAATCAATATCTATTGCTTAAACGTGAATGTAATTGTAACATGATCAGACAAAATAATCTATTGGTTAATAATGGCAAAAGGAAAATAGAAATCACAAAATGATGTGCATTGTCTTAATTTGCTTAACAAATCATGATAAATGTATTTTTCTGTCACACGTGTAAAGTAATAATGAATATGCATGAGATGATTGGTTTCAATTGGCCCTATTAGACTTTAATGGGATTTCCTGTGGCAGACCTGCCGCAGACTGTTCCTGTGGCGTACTGGTATGCGGCAAGTCTGGAGCAAAGTTTCGCCCTGCCGCAGATCTGCCGCAGACTGTTCCTGTGGCATACTAGTATGCGGCAAGTCTGGAGCAAAGTTTCATCCTGCCGCAGATCTGCCGCAGACTGTTCCTGTGGCATACTAGTATGCGGCAAGTCTGGAGCAAAGTTTCATCCTGCCGCAGATCTGCCGCAGACTGTTCCTGTGGCATACTAGTATGCGGCAAGTCTGGAGCAAAGTTTCATCCTGCCGCAGATTTGCCGCAGACTGTTCCTGTGGCATACTAGTATGCGGCAAGTCTGCAGCAAAATTTCATCCTGCCGCAGATCTGCCGCAGAATGTTCCTGTGGCATACTAGTATGCGGCAATTCTGCAGCAAAATTTCATCCTGCCGCAGATCTGCCGCAGACTGTTCCTGTGGCATACTAGTATGCGGCAAGTCTGCAGCAAAATTTCATCCTGCCGCAGATCTGCCGCAGACTGTTCCTGTGCATACTGGTATGCGGCAAGTCTGCAGCAAAATTTCTTTCTGCCGCATACTTCGGCATACTCTTTGCCGCAGACTAAAAGTCTGCGGCAGGTCTGCGTCAGATCTGCGGCAGATCTGCGGCAGGTCTGCGGCAGGTCTGCGGCATACTTTTCACTTTCCTATGGGTCTTTTTCTTTTTTTTACCAGAACTCAAGTTTATCTTTAAATGTTGCACACAAGTAAGCATTTACATTTAAACAAAATTTAGAAGGTTAAATATGTTGTGACTAAAAGGAATGCATGGCTCAACACTTGGGGAAAGTTTCACAAACCCTAAGATCATCTAACTATTGGCAGGCCGTTCATGTCACTGTTTGATGATGATATTAACCATAATAATAATAATAATATAGCACTGGTAGCTGCCAGGTACTGACTCATATTGCAGTTAGCGCACGGTACAAAGTACAAATGATCCCAAATTTCCTGCGATCTTTTATATATGTGGAGCCGCCCCACTTGGTGCATTTCATAATAGTCATTTTTACAGTAATGGAGGGGCTGCATGATCAGCTTTCCCCCTCCCCCCCCCTTTTTTTTTTGAAAAGAAAATATCCAACCTTTTATCATGGAATATGCTGTAGGTGCATAATTGAATGATAGTACATGTAGATCTTGATAAGCATGCATAATTTGTGTCAGTTGGCATAACAGTTTTGTACAAATAACCTTTATCTGCTCATGCGCATATTTTATCTAAAAAACTGGCATTTTATCTTAAACTTAAAGGGAGTGTAGTCTGACATGACTACGTGTCTTTCCCGTGGCCTGACTTGGGGGGGGGGGGGGGGGGGGGAGGGGACCGCACCGCAAATCATGTGCATGCAACATACTATACACAAAACCGAAGCGTGAGGCTAACTTGAGATAACTTATAGATTAAGTCGCTGACTTCCGTAAATCAAGTCCATTCGTTTACGTGCAGTTGTCCAAAAGAAACGTAGATGGCGTTAACCAGTATTTGCCAAGTTACACTCCCTTTAAGTCAAAAATATTCTCCAAAACAAGATGAAGCTAACTTATTCTGATCTTTCTACCCCCCCCCCCCCCCCCCTCCCTCCCCTTCCCCACACACACACTGTTATCTTTTCAGGACCCTCTATTTAGCGATCTTCACCATCCTGGTCCTTGCTTTCTTCGAGCCCCCATCCTCCCTCACCACCGGCAGCAGCTCTGACCCCCGTTACCGTGGCGACCGCATCCATGCACCCTGCGGTGTGACGGAGGGTATCGAGTTCGCCTGTCTCCTCATCTTCTTATATGACGTGTGCACCAAGGTAAGATGAAAATATTACAGCCCCGTTTTATAGACATGAAGTGTTTGGAGAAAAAAAATATTAAAAAGAGACCTTCTACAGCAAAACTTAGTGTGGAAATGAATTACTCACATGCCTCTGTGCATTAGTGTTGAATTTCTCTTTTGTGAGTCCTGGCCCACATGTTGCTCCCTCCCTTTTCCTCTTGTTTTGTTTTCATATTGCATGATCTGTCAAATTATATTGTGCTTTTTAAGCTTGGCCTAATAGATAATAATAACTAGATTTTTTTTTTTTTTTTTTTTTTGGGGGGGGGGGGTGTATTAGAGGCTATCTGACAGCAAATCTATGCATAATAGCAAGGCATTGTTTGAAATCTACATTTCATGATTATGCAACTTTTGTTTCTTTGAAGAAAAAAATTGTTTTGAACAAAGCAAGGTTTTAGACCATTAAGTTAATAATAATATGAATAAATCATATAAATAATATGTTAAAAAGTTCTCTTCCTTTTTCTCTTTTTTGAAAAAGATTTATCTGATAGGTTTTTCAGAGCTGAGGAAGAGCAAGTGGCTGGTTGCCTACCTTGTTGTTATGGCTTTCTCTCTCATTGATTGGTTGGTCACTATCAACTTCGTCTGCGATGAGCTGTATAGAATTCGCCGCTTCCTCCGCCCATTCTTCCTCATCCAGAACTCCCAGTTGATGAAGAAAACCGTGAGGAGCATCAAAAACACCATGCCAAAAGTAGCAAGGTACATTATAGTAAACTGGGTCAGGATTTATTTTAATACCTGACGCATAGAAGTCACGTTGAAGGAGTGAAACTATTGGTTCGCAGATACAGTCAAACCTGTCTACAGCGACCTTCCAAGGAAAACACAAAAAGTGGTCTTTGTCGACAGGTGGTCTTTGTAGACAGGATCCTTTGTACATGTTTCAATGAGAAACCATTTTGAAGGGAAACAAAAAATGTGTTCTTTGTAGACAGGTGGTCACTGAAGCAGGTTTGACTGTATTATCTTTGAGGTTTGACCTATGAAAATTACTTTACAAGCGATCCCAATGACAATAAATCATCGATAGAGGTTCATCAGCATAAATTATTTGGGTCTGCCTGTCAATGACAATTTCCAATTTAATTTAGACATCAGCACTGTGAGAACAATTTATTGTAAAAGTGCGGATTATCACTTAGTTGTTATATTGATACTGTTATCTCTGTTGGGTACAAGAACGATACTTTGCCTAAGGACAATCGCACCTTAGTTCAAAGAAATGTGTCTTCATTATGTTGTTGAATCTTTCCGTGACAGTGTTATCCTACTTCTACCAATACACATCTGTTTCCTAGACCGGAAGGATATTAATAGTCATTACTAATTTAGTGAATTTTTGTATTCCTTTTTTCTTATGACAGTGTGATTCTACTTCTTCTGATACACATCTATTTCTTCACCATGTTTGGCATGCTACTGTTTCCTAGACCAGATGGAGACCTGGTAAGTAAAACCTTCAAGAGGTGTCATGGCATAGTAGTTTATTCAGTTGACTCTCAATACAAGGTGTCGAGGTGTTGTGGTCTAGTGGATAAGTCAACCGACTGCAGATCACAAGTTACGGGGTTCAAGTCCCGCCGCGGCACTAATGTCCTTTGGCAAGACGTTAATCTACATTTGCCACTCTCCACCCAGGTGTAAAAGGGTACCTGATATGCTTGAGCGCTAGTTACTTTGGCAGCCCGGCTACGATAAGGGTAATATGTGTAAAGCGCCATGAGCGTCAGAGCCTGACAGATACCGGCGCTATATAAGTAACCATATTATTATTATCCAAGGGTCAAGGTTTTGAATCCCAGCCTGGCAAGAGATTAATCCTCATTTGCCACTCTCCACCCAGGTGTTAATGGGTACCAGATAGGATCTGAAAAATATTGTAGTTCACTCAGCACTGTGAGCATCTTTAAAATGGCACCGGGCTTGATTGCTCCCCAGGGAATGGAGAATGTGCATACATTGAATGCCTGCAAGACTGAATCCAATGATGGTATAATAATATATCTGTAAAGCACCAAGAGACATCGTCGAAACAATTGACTATTTCACATCATGGTTGAATGAAACTGCCTTGCATACATTAGTTTGATAACTTACTGGTTACAAAAAAAGAATACTCAACCCTACTGTAATACTTGTCTTTATTATATCTTTATTCTCATTTTTTTGCAGAAACCCTCTGTCCTCCACAACAAGACTTCAAATCAGACGAGTTTGATAGTTAATGATACAACAATAGTAAGTTTCATATGTATACAGTTATGTGCAAGATTAAATCATGACATGGATTCATTTTTTCTCTTTACTCCCCTCCTTTTACCTGTTTTTTCTCTCTTTATCCGGGAGAAGGGGTGGGGTGTGGGAAGTGATGAGACTCGAGTGTTACCAAGATTTATCATTTAATCTTACATCTGCTCTGTGAACCAAAGAAAAGAAGCACTAGGGTTTTGATCCTCATCACCAGACCATCACTGGTCCATGGAAAGGGTCACGATGAACTAAAAACAAATACCTCGCTTCTCCTGACCCATTCCAAATTATAGTCGAACCTGTCTACAGCGACCGCCCAAGGGAAACACAAAAAGTGGTCTTTGTAGACAGGTTCTTTTAGTACATGTTTCAATGAGAAACCTTTCTCAAGGGAAACAAAAAATGTGCTTGTTGTAGACAGGTGGTCACTAAAGCAGGTTTGACTGTATTAATATTCATCAGTCCGCCATTAGGACGATAGCTTTGAATGTTAAGCTTCCTAGGAAATTTTCAAGCAGTGGATGGCAGGTTCAGATCCCACTGGTCCATACATGCCAACTGTTCAGATTAAAGAGGAACATTCCTCTTTTTGGGAGAAGATAATTATCATTTTAATGCAGGTGTTCCTCTTCCTGTACAAATTTGTCTGTAGTATTGAATAGGAGAGTTAGGATTGTTCCTCTTTTTTTTTTAAAATAGCATAATTTGTACAGATTTCTGATTTTCAAATGTTGGCATGTATGCTGGTCCCTAGATTATTTTCTGACTTGTTTTCAATTACAAGAAAGATTATGCAATCTTGATGTACTGAGTGCAAGCCCCACCCCCCCCCCCCCAAAAAAAAAAAATTCTTTACAACAGTTAAAACTTCTCTTAGGAAGCCTAACATTTAGAGGTTTCAATCTTGTGGGTGATTCCATGCTCGTACGAAGTGAGACTTGCATCTATCTATTTCATAACAAAAATCTGTCAATATAAACCATTATTAACCAACGTTTTATATGCTCTAATGTAGGGAGCTTTATTTTTTGGACAGAATGGATGGGGAAAAAGACATACAGTTTGTCGTATGGGACACATTGCACAATCGCTCTTTTCCAATTGACTACTAATCATTTCAGTTGTGTATTCCTCCATAGCATAAGTAACAGCAGTGAATTGAAAGTATGCTACTTGATATAATGCATACATAAGCTGCAGTAGGACTTCTAACTTGAGTTCCACTATCCCCTTTGATTTTATTCTTAAAGTAATGCAAATGACAAAGCATTATATAATATTATTATACTTCTCTCAAATGCATTCCTGTTCAGGTGGATTCTAGGATATTCCAAGAGGGCATGCAACATTTTGCCAGCATAGGTGAATCATTTATGAGCCTCCTAGTGCTCCTCACGACTGCAAACAACCCTGATGGTAAGTGGAACATGCCAACATTCCCATAGAGTAGTGTAGTTCTTAATCATGGTTTGGAATATTCCATTCTAATTTTAGGTAGCATGTAAATTGTTTCTTGATATGAATTCCAAAAATATTAGATAATTATTGAAGGACACCTGGGCCCCGATGCACAAAACTTACCATTGATGGTAACTTTTGCATTAATGGTAACTACCATGGAAACCTTGATTTTGATTGGCTGTTGAGCCATGTTACCATGGTAGTTGCCATTGATGGCAAAGTTACCATCAATAGTAAGTTTTATGCGACAGGGCCCTGTTATTTGATATTTGAAATCAGAAATGGGCAAAACACAAAATTATCTTCTAAATCAGGCTTACAGGTTACATGAATGGCAAAGTGAAAATACAAGCAATCATGATAAAATGTTTGAGGGAGCGGTGTACATTTCATGTATTGCATAATTTCAAAAAAAATTTTGAGTGGATGATGAAGGAAAAGATATTTTTCATATAAGGGGTTGTGTAACTACATACATGTATGTGCAATACTTCAGTTCAGGCACACATATGACAATGTATTTTCTTATTCAGATAATATACAGATTTATGAAAATAGCAAAAGAGAAAGATAATAATAATAATAATAATAATAATCTTTTTTTAAGTCCACTCCAAGGTTAGTCACAGAGTTGCCAGTTTATGTTTGATTGATCGCACATTTAATTCTTAACTTATTTCAAAATTTGTATCTGATTTTCATCAAACGTTTTCGTATTATGATATTATGACCATTATTATTATTTTTTTAGTTACCATGCCCGCCTACCAGAACAACAGATTCTATGCCCTCTACTTCATCATCTTTCTTGGAATTGGTAAGTCCAGAGGAGAGAGAATGAGGGAGGGAGGGGGGAGGGAGAGAGAGAGAGAGAGAGAGAGGAGAGAGAGAGAGAGAGAGAGAGAAAGAAAGAGAGAGAGAATAAGAGAGAGTGAGATAGAGAGAGAGGGAGAGAAAGAAAGAAAGAAAGAGAGAGAGAATAAGAGAGAGGGATAGAGAGAGAGAGAGAGAACCTGTATGTAAAGACCACCTCTCATAATGTTACAATACAAGGTTGAGTAGTGGTAATGTGACTGTATTAGATATGTCTGCACAGGACTGTCAGTTTAAAGCTTTGAATTAGCGAAACCTCAAACTGTTCTTGTGTGAAATTATTTTATTTGTTAAACCATTCTGTCCTTCTTTTATAATATACACAAAAAAACAAAAACAAATTGACACTAAATAAATTGGAGGTATCCTATGGCTTATCCACAATCTTAGGTGCATGGGAGAGGCATTACGTCCTTGCTTGTCAAAACCATGCCGTCCTGAGACAACAGTTGACATCCCAAACTCTATCCTCTTTGTTTCTCATTCTTTGTTTTCATTCTTGAACAAGAATGTCTTAAAGATGCACATATTTATTGACATTTGAATGGTTATTTTCTCTGTTTTTGAAATGTTCTGAATAAGACCCTTTAACGATTAAATATATGTGCCCATCTAAGCATTAACTTTCAAAACTTAATCTTAACCGATTGTTGGTAGAGTATGAATTTTTCTATTATTTGATATGTTTTATTATATTCTATTGATAGTTTAAATGAAAATGTTGAACAATGATGAGTGTTTACCTCTTCTTCTTCTTTGCTGAGTGTATTTAATTTTGATTGTTTGTTTTTCTTTTTTTTTTTGTCCTTACAGGTCTCTACCTTTTCTTTAATATGCTTACTGCCGTCATCTATAATGAATTCAGAGGATATTTAATTGTAAGTAAAACCCAAGAAATGTTGAATTTCCCAAAGGTCTTAAAGGGGAAGTCCACCCTGATATTTAGGTGGTTTTAATAGCAGAAAAATGAGAGAAGCAGGTCAATGAAAATTTGAGCAAAAACCAACTAAAAACAAGAAAGTTATGAATTTTTGAAGGTGTGATCAATCAAACACAAATTGGCAACTCTGTGCCGTATCTTGCAAGATTTCCTCCCCTTTTTCCTTCTACTAAAACTAGACCAAATGACTACTAGCCTAAATGGTCATTAGACCAAATGATAAGTAGACGGAATGATTATTAGACCATGTGAATAGTGGCGGGCTGGGTGTAGATCCTACGGCAATAAACCATAGTAAGCATTGTAGTTGAAAGATAATGCCAAATCCCTGCTAAAACATGACACAAAGTCTGAGAGGTTAAAGTGACTTCTAGTAATGAAACCACCTTTAAAGAAAAAAAATGGTGACAAGTCGGTCCTCAATTGTAGAGGTGCCGTGGACTAGTGGATAAGAGTTTGTTCAAAATCATTTGAACAAATAAATAACAGTCCTTTTCAGGACTACACACCCTGAAGAAAGATTACCGAGAGTCCTTTTCAGGACTCCTCAATCCTCCCTCTCTCTCACATGGTGCATCCGCAAGCCTACTGTATAAATAAATAATAATTATCCTATACAAATAATGTTTTGTTTTGCTGTAATTGATAATATTCATTGCTGCACGAAAGAAAATTATCGGTGTTGCCAAATTGAAGAGTGTAGTGATTGTGTTCCCTTTCTCTACCAGACGTCAATGCAGTCCAGTCACTTCCGTAGGAGATTGGGATTTCAGGCTGCCTTTGAGATGTTGAGAGCCCAGATCAGAACGGTCAACGGAAGTATTGAAAGGTGAGTGGTTGGCAATCTGAGGCAGGTACGTTCAAGCAACACTCTTTCACCGTAGAAACGCGGTTTTCAAAGACGTTTAGTTTAAAACATGGTTGCGTTCAAGGGATTTCAAGTGATTCTTTGTCGGTCGTAAAAATAAACATGTTTCAAATTGCAAACATGAAATGCTGAAAAAGATGCGTTTGGTAACGTGATTCTACAGAATCACGGTCGCTAAAAAACTTGAACGAAACGGACATCTCAATCATGATTCTATGACGTCATTATGGAGGCCTGCTTCCGGTTTTTGCGGACAGTCGCTCGTAAACAATTTCAGTTGACCTATACTACCTTCGTCAAACTGCGCAGTGTGACGCGCAGTGGCTGGGCTTGAAATGAGCGCGAATCGGCGTTAATGGAAAACTGCTTGAAAGGTCTCCCGCAGTAACCGTGTTTTGTAACAGCATTTTGATTTGTAATTCATGTTTGTTATTCTTGCTTCTATAAATCGCTTGAACACACCCTCAGTTGGTTTAGCATCTGCCTGGCAATTCTAAAATTGTCGGTTCAAATCCAATCCAGGGGAATGACTAAAGCCCTCATGTGTGTTAACGCGCCCCTCTTCTGTTTCATAGATACATGTAGGATAGGATGTTTATGGAGGCCCTGTGTAGAGGAGAGTCGCCACCTTTGCACATTAATAACTCACTGTACCATCGTATAAGAGTAGGGGGAAACCCTGGTGCAGTGGTCTACCTGCACACCCCCAATCAGTTAGACCGGTAGGGGAGACCCGAGGGTTACACTGATTTAGTTTGATTTTTGTCTCCCAAGCACAGTGACACAGAATTCTTAATTATAAAAGATTCTGCACAAAACCCTTTATTGAGGTCAATTTATACCGTGATAAAGTTGGATGGGCACAAAACATTTTACTTCAGATATCAACCATGCATACTCTAAATTTCATGGTAATAATCACTTTTTAGAAGGCATGTTGATAAAGATAAGTCTAAATGATCTCTCTCTCTCTCTCCCTCTCTCCGTCTTCTACCTCCCCTGATCTCTCTAATTCTCTTTTTTTTCTCTCTTCTTCCTTCCTCTATCTCTTTGTCTTTCTCTCTCACCATCTTTCCCCTGTTACCCTTCCACCCCTCTCTCTCTCTCTCTCTCTCTCACCCACTCTGGATCCCTTTCTCTCTCTCTCTCTCTCACCCACTCTGGATCCCTTTCTCTCTCTCTCTCTCTCACCCACTCTGGATCCCTTTCTCTCTCTCTCTCTCTCTCTCTCACCCACTCTGGATCCCTTTCTCTCTCTCTCTCACCCACTCTGGATCCCTTTCTCTCTCTCTCTCTCTCACCCACTCTGGATCCCTTTCTCTCTCTCTCCCTCTCTCTCTCTCTATACCCTTCCTGCCCCTGTCTATATTTCCTAACCGCTCTGTCTTCTCGCTCCTCCACCCTTTCTCTCTCTATCTCTCTCCCTCTCTCCCTCTCTTCCTCTCTCCCTCTCTCCCACTCTCCCTCTCTCCCTCTCTCCCACTCTCCCTCTCTCCCTCTCTCCCTCTCTCCCTCCCTCCCCTCCCTACCTCTCTCCCACTCTCCCTCTCTCCCACTCTCCCTCTCTCCCTCTCTCCCTCTCTCCCTCTCTCCCTCTCTCCCTCTCTCCCCTCCCTACCTCTCTCCCACTCTCCCTCTCTCCCTCTCTCCCACTCTCCCTCTCTCCCACTCTCCCACTCTCCCTCTCTCCCTCTCTCCCTCTCTCCCACTCTCCCTCTCTCCCACTCTCCCTCTCTCCCACTCTCCCTCTCTCCCACTCTCCCTTTCTCCCACTCTCCCTCTCTCCCACTCTCCCTCTCTCCCACTCTCCCTCTCTCCCACTCTCCCTCTCTCCCACTCTCCCACTCTCCCACTCTCCCTCTCTCCCTCTCTCCCACTCTCTCCCTTTCTCCCACTCTCCCACTCTCCCTCTCTCCCTCTCTCCTCTCCTCTCCCTCTCTCCCTCTCTCCCCTCCCCTCACTCTCCCTCTCTCCCACTCCCCCACTCTCCCTCTCTCCCACTCTCTCCCTCTCTCCCTCTCTCCCACTCTCCCTCTCCTCCCTCTCTCCCTCTCTCCCTCCCTACCTCTCTCCCACTCTCCCTCTCTCACACTCTCCCTCTCTCCCACTCTCCCACTCTCCCTCTCTCCCACTCTCCCTCTCTCTCTCCATCTCTCCCACTCTCCCTCTCTCCCACTCTCCCTCTCTCCCACTCTCCCTCTCTCCCACTCTCCCCTCTCCCCTCTCCCACTCTCCCTCTCTCCCACTCTCTCCCACTCTCCCTCTCTCTCTCTCCCACTCTCCCTCTCTCCCACTCTCCCTCTCTCCCACTCTCCCACTCTCCCTCTCTCCCACTCTCCCACTCTCCCTCTCTTCCACTCTCCCTCTCTCCCACTCTCCCTCTCTCCCACTCTCCCTCTCTCCCACTCTCCCACTCTCCCACTCTCCCTCTCTTCCACTCTCCCTCTCCCACTCTCTCTCCCACTCTCCCTCTCTCCCTCTCTCCCTCTCTCCCACTCTCCCACTCTCCCTCTCTCCCACTCTCCCTCTCTCCCTCTCTCCCACTCTCCCACTCTCCCACTCTCCCTCTCTCCCTCTCTCCCACTCTCCCTCTCTCCCACTCTCCCTCTCTTCCACTCTCCCTCTCTCCCACACTCCCTCTCTCCCACTCTCCCTCTCTCCCACTCTCCCTCTCCCACTCTCTCTCTCTCCCACTCTCCCTCTCTCCCTCTCTCCCTCTCTCCCTCTCTCCCACTCTCCCACTCTCCCTCTCTCCCACTCTCCCTCTCTCCCTCTCTCCCACTCTCCCACTCTCCCTCTCTCCCTCTCTCCCACTCTCCCTCTCTCCCACTCTCCCTCTCTCCCACTCTCCCTCTCTTCCACTCTCCCTCTCTCCCACTCTCCCTCTCTCCCACTCTCCCACTCTCCCACTCTCCCTCTCTCCCTCTCTCCCACTCTCCCACTCTCCCTCTCTTCCACTCTCCCTCTCCCACTCTCCCTCTCTCCCACTCTCCCTCTCTCCCACTCTCCCTCTCTCCCACTCTCCCTCTCTCCCTCTCTCCCACTCTCCCTCTCTCCCACTCTCCCACTCTCCCTCTCTCCCTCTCTCCCACTCTCCCACTCTCCCACTCTCCCTCTCTCCCACTCTCCCTCTCTCCCTCTCCCACTCTCCCTCTCTCCCTCTCTCCCACTCTCCCACTCCCCCACTCTCCCTCTCTCCCACTCTCCCTCTCTCCCTCTCCCACTCTCCCTCTCTCCCTCTCTTCCACTCTCCCTCTCTCCCTCTCTCCCTCTCTTCCACTCTCCCTCTCTCCCTCTCTACCTCTCTCCACTCTCCCTTTCTCATCTCCTCTCTCATTTTCTCGCACTCTCTCTCTCATATCTGAATAGATGCACAGTCAGTGTGAGTGTGGTCAAGTCCGTTGTTCTCCAAGCTAGTATACCAAAGAGAGCCAAAAGGACCATTTTAACAGTAAGTATGTCGAGCGCCCAACATTCTTTGCGCCAGTGAATTTAATGAGATAGTTCAATATGTCTAGCTTGGTAAAAAGTCCATTATATGCTTTTAAATTGAGCATTAATAACGTTTTTGAATATTTGAAATGTTGAAAAGGTTGAATATCGCAAAGGATTTCTTGAAAAGCCAATTGATCAAGAAGAAAAAATATGAATGCAGGTATACAAATGTTGATAACGTGTTATAATAATAATAATGAAAACGGTGCTTATAAAGCGTTTACCACTGTAGTCTCTAAGCGCTATGACGAACGAAATATAATAATAAACAATAAGTCTACTACCCATTCGGTCTATTGCTCAGTTGGTCTAATTTTCAGTTTGTGTAATGCCCATTTCGTCTACCATCCACAAAGTCTAATAATCATTTGATGATTATTATTATTTATGACAAACTGCAATTCACTAAAGGGAGACATTCAATTCAATTCAATTTTATTTCACATCACTTAAAAAAAAATCAGAAGATATACAAACAAATCAGTATAAATTAAACAATATAAAATAAAAATATTCATTGACGTGGTACTATGAAAGAAGGATGAAGGGTGGGGGATGCGAGGGATCAGCATAGGCCATTGAGAAATTCATTACATGGTACTACTATGAAGGAAGCAGAGATTGAGGAATGGGGGAGCAATCATTTTGTTGTTGGTATGTTTATTTTTAGGAGCTGGATGGCAATATAGGTGGAGTGATTACATCATCAGAGTTTCAGGGACTGTTCGATTGCCTGGACCATCAAACAGACGAAGATGAGGTATAGTACAGTCAAACCTGCTTTAGTGACCACCTGTCTACAAAGACCACATTTTTTGCTTCCCTTGAGAATGGTTTCTCATTGAAACATGTACTAAAGGAACCTGTCTTCAAAGACCAATTTTTGTATAGTAAAAAAATAACTGAATTTTCACCAAGTCCAAACCAATCCCAAAAGCATCTGGTTAGCACGTTTCTTTCCCTCTCCTTTTCTGTAGGGGTGTCGTAGTCGAGTGGTTTAAGCACTCGAATTGAAATGCAACGGTCATGGATGCGATCACCAGCACAGCACTTATGTCCTGTGGCAGGGCATTAATCTGAGTTTCAGAGAATCTTTGATTGTCTCGACCTTCAAACGGACGAAGACGAGGTGTACTAAAAGAGGAAATAAATAAATTTTCATCCAGTATAATCTCAAAAGAGTCTGGTTAACAGATATTTCTTTGAAGTTATAAAAAGAGGCTTTCTCCAGTAGCCTAAGCTCAAGGAAATTTACCGATTAGTACTTCGCTCGAAATTAGTCCAAAGCTGATGTTTATTTATACAGGCATACGTAGTTGATGACAAGGCTGAGTTAACACGAAAGGTACTTTTTAATTTCTTAAAATATTGATGAAAGGTCAGGCCAAAAGTTCTTGGGAAACCATGTTTTTGAAAAGTTTTATGTACATTGACAGAAATCATTTCGAAGATACTCCAGGGTAAAGAACAAATCAGTTAGGAAGGATATTGAAAGCAACATTACTTGAGTGGTGAAAACGGTTTAGAAATTATTTCTAATTACTCCAGTTGTACAGTACTTGTGATTTTGGGGTTCTCCATACTCAAGCATATAGAATCTTATTCTATTTTCACTGCCTTAATTAATAATTTGTACCTTTACATGTGTTCTAGATGGCAAAGCAGAAGTTTCTAATGAGCTGAGAACCCATTCTACAAATCAGAATATTTTTAATTTGTAATACTTCTTGTAAAATTAGATTCCAGGTCCTAGACTAATAACTAGACCAAGACTAAAGAGACTCCAGTCCTGCATCGTCCATCGCTTCTTTGGGTACTGTGGGACGGCTGTGGCAGTTGTGAACATTGTTTTCATTAGTGTAAGTAGAACTCTTGGTTTCATACAGGGGGATCTAGCATTTGCTTTAGACCAGGGGGGTGTTTCATAAAGCAGTTCGTAAAGTTACGCATGACTTTAAGAACGACTTGAATATGAAATGCCAGATAGGATGCCCAAAGTTTTTCCTGATGTTTTAACAAAGCGTGACTATATTTCCAATAACCTCAATTAAATTATGGCAAAAAATATACTTTGCATTAAAAATGTTTGTTATAATAAGGATGTTGATCTACATCTGCACAGATCAACTTTAGTTGATGCAGTTAAAAATGATTGAGCATCCCATTTGGCTTTTCATATTTAAGTCACTCGTAAAGACATGCGTAACTTTACGAACAGCTTTATGAAACACCTCCCTGGGCTCCTCAAACTCCGGACCGCAGAATATGTCAATCCGTACCTACCGGGAGGCTATGCTTTTAAGAAAATTTATTTATTCATTTTTTAACTGTAAATATTCCCTTTTAATTGATCAGATGTACACATAAGCAACACTCACTTTTTTCAGTATACAACTTATAAGTTACATTGATGTAAATTTCAGCAGTCGATTGTCCGAGTCTGAACCAAAACTAAGTGATGTTTGAGCCGTGTCCGTCTTTCCAGCAATTAATAGTAATCTTAATTGTTCTTGGGTTGGGATTGAATTCTTGCCCACTGCATTAGGTAAGAAATAAAGTATTCCTACCCCTTGTAAAGTTGATGTTTGTTGTGTTTTTCGTAACTCTAGAATGAAACATGGACACGTTGAATTAGGCCCTTTGTTGAATACTTTTAGATGTAAGCTTAAATATGTCACATCCTAAAGAAACATAAATCAGGACAAATCAATTTTTCACATAAATCAAGAATGACAAAACTTGGTATTGAAGTATACAAATAATTTATTTAAACATATTTGTGGCTTACACCCAGTAAATAAGATCGATTGATCGATCTGTATTGAAAAACAAGTCAGAAAAAATCTTGGAACCAGCGGGATTTGAACCTGCATCTACTGCTTGCCGGGCAGCGACTTTACCACCAGGCCATCACTGGTACATGGCACAGTCACGATGAACTAGAACAAATACTTAAGCTCTCCAAGATTTTTTCTTACTTGTTTTTCAATACAGATCGATCAATCGATCTTATTTACTAGGTGTAAGCCACAAATATGTTTATATAATTAAAATTTCTCCCAGGAAGCATTACATTTATAAAACAAATAATTTAGTTGTTAGCTGTTTGTCTTTAGGCAAGGCAATTTACTGTTCTTTTATAGAACTGACATTTTCTTCCTTTAAATTTATGTCATTAGGCAAGTATTCTGTGTCCTTTTAAAGATCAATGTTTTCTCTATTATTTTGTAGATTGAGATTTCAACACAGTACGATAAAAGCCTTTACCATGATGATTCAGAGCTCACCAAGTTCAACATTGTCTTCATCATCTATTACTGCGTAGAACAGGTAAGGAGTATCACATGTCACTATACTGTACAAATGATGCGTGTGCGTGAGTTTGGTATACGATCTATCTACATTCACGTTGAGGCTATATGCTTTTATATCCTGCATCAAAAATGTGTTGGCTTTTGATTGGTTGAGAGCTCGTCACATGACCAGAAATATTTGAGCTATTTTTAGAAAGTATTATATGAGAGTACTATTTTGGTTTACTATTTGGGAGTTGAAAAAAAAATGTGAATTTTTTTTTGAATTTAATCAATTTTTTTTTTTCAAATCTTAATTTAATGAAAACAAAATATTTTAAATCTTTTTAGATAAAAATTGACATTTTTTTTGTTCTAAATTTGTTTTCCCCCAAAATGTATTTTTTTTTTTTTTTTTTAAATACATTTTTGATGAGGATATAAAACAAATATACCATGCCTTGTATTCAAGGTACTGGTGAAACTATGGGCCTGGGTGACCCCCAAAGTACCATTTGCTTCGGGCCTGCGCCCCTCAGCAAATAGTACTATTGGAGTCACCTCTTGCACATAGTTTTAACCAGAACCTCTCAAGACAGTGGATATTTGTATACTATTCTGGTATGGAGTATCAGATTCTACTGTACTGTGCAAATGATGCATGTGCGCGAGTTCGGTATACGACCTATCCACATTCTCGTTGAGGCTATGTGCTTCTATTCTGGTAAGGAGTATCAGATTTCACTGTACTGTGCAAATGATGCGTGTGTGTGAGTTCATTATACGATCTATCCACATTCTCGTTGAGGCTATGTGCTTCTATTCTGGTAAGGAGTATCAGATTTCACTGTACTGTGCAAATGTTGCGTGTGCGCGAGTTCATTATACGATCTATCCGCATTCTCGTTGAGGCTGTACGTGTGCTTCTACTCTGTGTTACAAAACCTTCACACTGAGTACGATCATTCAGCAGACCCTATGCCTGGAATTTGATATTTCATAATTGAGCCATAAAGCTGCTTTGCTCTGTGAATCTCGTAAAGAAAAAGATTGATTTGTATGAATCTGTATCTGTATTGTTAGGTCAGCAAAATATCTGTTCAGGACACATCCACGCTAAAGTTGTGAATCTCCTTCTTCATTTTAGATACTGAAATTCTGGGCTCTTGGCTGGAAGTGTTTCAAGTACTCGGTTACGAACCTCCTCGATGCACTGTTCACAGCAGTCTTGCTAGTAAGTCTTTTCGGTTTCATTGTGGCATGGTTTGCAGTCATGTGTAAAAGTGTTGGAAGTCAAATGGTTTAATGATAAAGTTAAAGGTAAAAGCCAGTATTGGAAACGCCCCAATTTCAAAAAATGAAATGGAAGCTCTTATTACCAATCATGTGAAAGAATATGTTTTGACTAATACATGATGATAAAACTTTTACCGGGAAACCGCCCACTAATTGATATATTTGGTAAATTAGTTTATCTATTGGTGTGTGAGAGATAAACGCACGTGTCGTGCACATGTGCGTAGTCCCATATACATCTTTCTGTGTACAGTGCTTGTAACTTTACCAAGACTGGGCCAAATTTCTTATCAGTTTGATGATTCCAGAACCTTGCAGTACACACCAATACTTATAGGCTAGATGATCAACCTTTTCTGATCGATTCCACATTTCTTTCACAATGCAATCGCATGACCATAACTGGTCTTTATCTTTAAGTGAAAGTCTTGTGATCACATGTCATGTGAGTACAGGGGGGTGTTTCATAAAGCTGTGCGTAAAGTTACAAATGACTTTACAGATGATTTGAATATGAAGAGCCAAATGGGATGCCCAAAGTTTTTTTCTGACATTTTAACAAAGTGTGACTGTATTTCCTATAATCTCAATTAAATTGTAGCCAAAATAACACTTTGCATTAAAATGTTTTGTTAAAAATGATATCTGCATATTTCAACTTTAGCTTATGCAATTAAAAGCATTTGAGAATCCCATTTAGCTCTTCATATTTAAGTCATTCGTAAAGTTGTGCGTAACTTTACGCACAGCTTTATGAAACATCCCTCTGGTCATATGATTACATATGAGCATTTGGAATGATCAAAAGGCTCAGAAAATGGCCCATTCTTGTTGAAAATCACATGCATGGCACACACAAATGGGGATACAGGATTACACACACACATGGCATGAAAGTTTGCTCCAAAATTCAAGCTAATATTCCAGATCATAATTCAGATATCATGGCATTTAAAGAACAGTTGAGAGTTATAGAATCTAGATACATGTTATATCACAACGTGGCGGACATGTGCGCTATATAAGAAGCCACCATTATTATTATTATTATCATGATAAATTTGTAATTTGAAAATGACATGAAAGTGTTTTCATTTTATATTTCCATATTTCACCCCCCCCCCCCCAGGTAGCGCAAATTTTATACCTCGTGATGGAAGGATCAAGGCTTTATCCGTAAGTTTTCCCCATTTCTTATAAGCCTCATTAACTCAGGATATAATTTCTTTTAAAGTTTGATGTGCTTCAATTTCTTAATTTTATAACCCAGATTACAAAATTTGGTGCAGATTTTTGCTGCTCTAGCCATTATTGAAATGTATTTATTTTTCTTTCTGATAGGTGTAACTCTATTATCAAATAAATATTTACTTATTAAAAAAGTGCATCCACACAAAAACAAATTACTTTCAATATAACTTGGATGCTGGTATGAGGAAATCAGATTTTTAGGGTGGAAATTTATATTATCAACATAAAAAAACAATTAGTGGATAATGAAGCAATGACGTCACAGACTCATGAGTGAGTTGCCAGTTTGTCTTGTGATTTTCAAAGTTTTTAATGTCATTAAAAATTCATAACTTTCTTATTAGTTATCCGATTTTGCTCAAACTCTTTTTAGATTGGTTTTTTTGGATTTTCTTCTTCTTTTGAAAGTTAAAAGTCATTCAAAATTTATAACTTTCTTATTAGTTATCTGATTTTGCTCAAACTATTTTAGATTGGTTTGTCTGATTTTTCTGCTTCTTTTGAAAGTTATTTTTGGAGTGGACTTGCCCTTTAAGTGCAGGGGAAACAATTAATAGGGGCAGCGAGCGAGTTAGCTCTCAAGAGCTCCAAAAATGCTCTGGTCAAACAAAAACACAAATATGCTGTGAGACAATATTAGAGCCCTTACGAACATTTAATGGGGGTGTAGCACGATGAGACTAGGTGTCTTTCCCGTGGCCTGATTCGGGGCCAATCGGTTATAATTCAACTATGGACGACGCGACTGCAGTATGCACGTGCGTGCAAAATATGTGAAACCGAACCGTGAGGAGAACTTTGGTCCGTTTCGAGAACGCTAGCGCACGCTGACCGTTAATCAAGTCCTTTTGTTTACGTGCAGTTGTCCAAAAGAAGTCGTAGATGGCATTAACCAGTCTTTGCCATGTTACACCCTCTTTAGGTGTTTTTTTTTTAACTGAAAATAGTGCTATGTAAATCCAGATTTAATATTGTTACTATTATGATTATTTTTTCTTTGATTTGACAGAGACGACAGTGTGGGCTTTGTTATGTACGATCTTGTCAGAATCATAAACATCCTCATAACCTTCCGGCTCTTCAGGATAATTACACACTTCAATGTAAGTCAAATTCTCTGTACAGTATGTAAGTTGCAAAACCTGCTTTGGCAATCACCTGTATAGAAAGACAACCTGTCTATAATGACCACATCATGTTTTCCTCAGTTTTTTCTTTCTTTTGAATCATGTTTTTCAATGTAAGTCATATTGCCAGACCTGCCAACCAGTACGATTTAGTCGTATTTAGTACGATTTTTAGAAGCAAATACGACAGTACGATTTTCCTTAAAGGTAAAGACCAGTTATGGTCATGCGATTGCATTGTGAAAGAAACGTTATGGAATCGATCAGAAAAGGTTGATCATCTAGCATCTAGCATCTGCAAGGTTTTGGAATCATGAAAATGATCAGAAATTTGGCCCATTCTTCGTAAAGTTACAAGCACTATACACAGAAAGATGTATATGGGACTACCCTATATCTCTCACAGACCATGAGAGAAACAAATTTACCAAATATATGAATTAGTAGGCGTACCTTTAATAAAATACGATTTTCAAAAAAAAAAAAAAAAAAAACGATTTTTTTTTTTTTTTTTTTTTTTTTTTTTTTTTTTTTTTAAATTTTTTAATTAATATTTTGTGTGTGCGTCCGCCATTTTCAATGGCAAAATGTCCATTCTGTCCTGTAAAGTATCCTACAAGCATCTCACATTGGCAATTTGGGGATGTTCATTGGTTCATTGAACACACCAGTCATCACGAAATCATGCATATTCAACCAATGATCAATAAAAAAAATTCTTCTTGTACGTAGAAACTGTAAGAGGCACAATCCGTGTTTATTTTCAAGAATACAACTTTTGTCAGTAAAATACAACTTTTGGGACTAAAGAATACAGTTTTTGAACTCCAGAGGTTGGCAGGTCTGTATTGCCTTGTATGTACAGTGTTCAGTGATTCCTGCTTTAGCGACCACCTGTCTATAAAGACCGCATTTCCTGGTTATCTTGAATAGCGTCTCTCTTTGAAACATGTGAACCTGTACACACAGACCACCTGCCTACGAAGACCATAGTGTGGTTTACACAGGATTTTATATACAGATTTCTCTGTATGAAACACAGTGTAATTTATGTTGTAATACGGTATGTCATTAGAGGCACATATTTTATAAAGAAATATAAGCTTTAACATCTTTAAATTGGCAACACAATGTAATGTTAAGTAACATGGGTTTCCTATGAAAATAGGCAACTTTTTTTCTTTACCGTATAGTTCCCTCCATATATTGCTACGAAGTTGTGTCATAATAACAAGATTACTAGAGTTGCCAATTTGAAGAAGAAAAGCTAACATGTGTCTTTTTGTATTGCCTTGTTTGATTGTTTTGACAGACTATGGCCATTGTGGTCAGTACTATGCTAGATCTGATCAGGAACCTACGTGCTTTCATCGGGATCCTTGTCGTAAGTCACCAGTGATCCGTCAAATGCTCGGACGACATTTTCTCGGGGCAACATGTTGTTTAACAACAGGGTTATCAGTGGAGTCCGGTTAAGGGTTAGGGTTAAGTGTAGGTTTAGGGTTAGATATATGGTTAGGGTTAATGCTGGTTGTTTAAACAATTCTGGTTTGTTTTCAAAATAATAAAGTATTTTTCTTACCAGACAAGTAAACGTATGGTTAGGATTGCCATCTTAAATTTGGGTGGTATAGGGAGGGTATGAATAACTGTTGAGTCTCTTGTGGGAGTAAATTAATGATTAGATATATCGCCACACAGGTGATCTATAATTAATGTTAAGTTTTTGATTGATTGATTGATTGGTTTATTTTATTTCATATAACAATTGTTTGCAAGATAAAGAACATAGTTTACAAAGTAAGTTCAAATTATGAAATGAAACAGGAACCTACTGGAAAGCATAGCTTGTTTGTATAGGTCCCCAATAATAAATATAATATGAATATTATTTTCATTAATCATTTTAAGTTGTCTTAATAATCACAGTAAAATAGATATATTATAATAACATATTTTCATAAACCCTTTTAAAAAACAAAGCTGCACACTACAGAAATTAGAAGAAGAGAGAGAGAGAGAGAGAGAGTGTGTGATACAGGGGAGATGTGAGAACTTTAACCTGTAGGAGACATGTATTTTTGTATTAGATTCTTTTTGAACCCTCTACTAAAACTATTATATGTATATTTACCATTCAAGGCATGGCGGTATTGAGAAACTCAGGCTTGATTAAATTTGACTACTATTTTCCTCTCTTTCTGTTGCAGGTAATCTACTATGTATTTGCTATTTTGGGGATGGTCGTCTTTCGAGGGAAGAGTCCCCAGCCGCCCAATAATACTGACATAACGTAAGTTCTTTGCATGTTTGTGAACGTTTGAAGGCCATGTCCAAGTCGCATGTACAGTCAAACCTGTCTTAGTGGCCACCGCTCTATAGAGGCCACCTGTCTATAGTGGTCATGTATCTTGTCTCCCTCAAGAAAGATATGAATGCTGCAGAACCTGTCCAGAAAGGCCACCTCTCTACAGTGGCCACATCTTCTGTTTCCCTTAGGTGGTCTCAAAAGAAAGGTTTGACTGTATTCATGTTCATGTTAAAGGGCAAGTCCTCTCCAAAAATAACTTACTTTCAATAGAAGCAGAAAAATTAGACAAAGTGACAAACCAATCAAAAAAAGTTTGAGAAAAATCGGTTTGACTAATAAGTCACTTCACTTCATATTTGTTTTCATCCAAGCTCTAGTAAGGCTTTTAAGTTCATGCAATAATCACATATACTAAATCTATGATGAGGCTAGTTATGTATGGAACAAAATAGCTTGGACCTGCAAGCAGTGTCAACTAATTCCTTATTTTACTAAAATATTGTTCAGGTTTCATGAACTCCCCCGATGATGTAGGCACCATCATATTGTGGTACCTACAGGTATACAGTCAAACCTGCCTTGGTGACCACCTGTCTACAAAGGCCACATTTTGTTGTTTCCCTTGAAGAAAAAAAAAATCATTGAAACATGTACTAAAGGAACCTGTCTACAAAGACCACTTTTTGTGTTTCCCTTGGGCGGTTGCTATGGACAGGTTAGACTGTAGTTTATTTGTTCTGAAACTATAATTGCTATAGGACTACCCAGTTCTTGACTCATTGTATTTGTATGGGAACCAGAAGTGACCTTGCCAAATATACCCATGGCCTATAGATGCTGCCCTCTATGGCCAAATACCGGAGTTGCAATATAGAGAATTATTCCAAGGCCCGTACGAAGAGCAATATTTATCATATCATGGTCTTTTTTTTTCATTTTTCTAAATGTACATATATAAACCTTGTGAGTTTTATTTCTTCTGCTATTTAATTTAATATTGTGTTTACCTTTATAAGGAACTCTTACAGGTCCTGGGGGGGTTTTCACAAAGACTAAGATCGACTTTAAGTTGGACTTAACTATGGCAGGCCATTCATGCCACTGTTTTCTCTCACCATTATGGTCTTCAGATAATATTTTTTCCTTCAATAATGAGTTGTCAAAAAATGTAAATTCTGTATATTTGTGACTATGATTTGTAAGTCTGTTGACATACCAATGCCAGTAAATGGTGAGAGCAACCAGTGGCATGAACGACCTGCCATAGTTAAGTCCAACTTAAAGTTGATCTTAAGCCCCTTTCACACTAGGCCATACATAGGTAGAGTTGCGTAGTGTTGGGTACCCACTACACCAAGCGTTCGCTGCCATACGCTGGCCTCTGTTACTATACGCTGAGGGACGCAAAGGGGTACGCAAAGGGGTACGCAAGATGGACAGAAAAAAGAAGAAAAAAAAAATTGTACATACTTCTGCGTAGACATTAGACCCAGAAAGGAGACATTTTTAACGCAAGTCTACGCAACAATACGTAACCTTAAGCAACACTTTGCTACTGTACGCCATGCCTATGCAATAGTACGCTTCCCTACGGCAGTCTGACGAAGCAGTAAAAGCGTATAAAGGCGTCCTAGATCCTACCTGCGCACCTACGTACCCTTTACGCCAGGCCTACGCAAACGTACGCAACCCTACGTTTGTTATACGCAATCGTACGCATAGGTACGCCAATTGCATACGCCATAAAAAGACGGTGCCTATCCACCGGGAACGTAACCATATGCCATCATGCGCCAGCCTACGCATAACCTACGCTGGGACTACGCCGAAGCAACATTTTTTTACATGAATTCCCAGCCTAATTTCGGCATACTTGGTATGCCACACTACTCAATTGCGACGAGTAGTCGAATGCTCGAGTACCCGCACTGTTGACAACTACTCGAGTACGATTTTTCGTACTTGAATATTCGGCCGCAACTAAAAAAAAATTAAAAATTCCCGGTCACCTGGCACTGTCCAGGCCGACGCTTACCCGTGCCAGGGAGAGCGACGGCCGCTGGTATGGTACCGTCGGTAAAAATGTTTCCCAACTCAAGCACTGTCAAACTCACCACTCAGAAACTGGGACCAAATGTCCGGATTTCTGCTTGGACTCAGAGGAAAATGGATTATTCTGCCATCTTTGGTTTTTAAAACAGCATTGTTTACTGTTATTATTATTATTAAATCGGCGCCTTCAACTGCAACTCGAAATTAAATTTCATGCGTTTTCGGCGACGGACCTTGGATACTGCTCCAGTGGTATGGTAGCAAAAAAAAAAATCAAAAAAATTATTAAAAAACATGGCGTCCGAATATTTGAGTATTCGCTTGTAAGCCTGGGAGTGACTCGGGTACCTCATTATACTGTTGTGCACAGCCTTAATTATTATGATTATTTACTTTTTATCTTGCAGTCAATTACCAATGTGTGGGTCTTATCAGCAGCTGAATTACTATGCAAATAATTTTGATGATTTTGCGGTAAGTATGTTTTCTTTTCTGTACCAAAATAACTCACATATTCTTTTATTGTTTCTTGTGTATTGATTTCTTTTTTGACCTGTTTGATGATTTAGATAAAGTATATCGTCTTTTCTTTGCAAAATTTGTCTGAAATCATGACTTGATTCATTTGGATATGCCTGTATCTATTTTATCATAAGAAAAGTGAAATAATTATATTACTGGTCTTCAGCGACTTCAAATCTGTTAAAACATCTCAACCTTGTTTTAAGCGGTACCGGTACTCTTGAATCATTGACTGTTTTAATACACAACCACCATTCCCTTGTAATATTATGTTGTTAATGTACTTTAGGTTAAGATATTAATTTACTTAAACATATTTGTGGCTTACACCCAGTAAATATGATCGATTAATTGATCTGTAATCGATCTTATTTACTGGGTGTAAGCCACAAATATGTTTAAATAATTGAAATTTCTCCCAGGAAGCATTACATTTATAAAAGATATTAATTGTTTACCGTAGTGCATTTAAGTGCTGATTTCTCTACGTACTTTAGATTAAAAATTAAATTTTGTAATGCTTTGTATAATGTTCTTTTACTTGAAAATAAGCTTCATAGAGGGCTATATACATAAGTATTAAGGATAGATGCATTATGTTGTGCAGATACATGGCAGTGAGCTTGCCATTGTAAATCTGGTTGAAAACCTTCACTTGAAAAATTGAAAAGTACATTTTATGATTTTTTTCTCTCACTCTTTGTTTTCAGTCTGCCATTGTTGTACTCTGGGATATCATGGTGGTGAATAATTGGCATGTCTTCCTGGAAGCCTACTCAAAAACAGCTAGTCAGTGAGTATTAACATGATATCATTCAATTAACTCACCATTCTAGGGTTGAGGGTTCAAATCCCAGACCAATTGGCATGTCTTCGTGGATGCCTTCTCCAAAACAGCTACTCGGGGTCAAGCGTTAATATGCTATAATTTCTTATTGGAAGTCTCATAATAAAGTGGCTCATTTTCTTGACTCTCACTTCCAGGGTCGAGGGTTCAAATCCCAGCCCAACACTAACGTCCTTGGTTGAGGCATTAATCCACGTTTGCTACTCTCCACCCAGGAGGCAACAGGTACCCAATATGCCAGAGCGTTTCATTTTTGGCCGCCAGCTTTGACTGGGTTAATAATGTTGGAGCGCCAGAGGCATCACAGCATGATGGATATATCACTATGAATATGACGGACAAAGAAAGTGGACAAAATATACAGTTCCTCATTCTACCCTCAACAATTGCTATGGTAGACACATACATGCCAACTGTTCAGATTAAAGAGGAACATTCCTCTTTTTGGGAGAAGATAATTATCATTTTAATGCAGGTGTTCCTCTTCCTGTACAAATTTGTCTGTAGTATTGAATAGGAGAGTTAGGATTGTTCCTCTTTTTTTTGAAAATAGCATAATTTGTACAGATTTCTGATTTTCAAATGTTGGCATGTACGTAGACAAAGGAACATCCCTTCACTGCTATTATGTAAAAATGTGTAGAACAGGTGAATATGCATGTGACACCTGTTCTACACATTTTTACATGATAGCAGTGAAGGTATGTTCCTTTGTCTACCGTAGCAATTGTTGAGGGTAGAATGAGGAACTGTATATTTTGTCCGCTTTCTTTGTCCGTCATGTTCATAGTGTATGTGCTGTATAAGAAGCCACCATTATTGTGTATTGGTATTATCTAACATTCAGTTTATTCGGAGCAAATTTTCAATCATTGATGATTTTCTCATCTTGTTTTAGATGGTCCCAAATCTATTTCATTGCCTGGTACTTCACCTCAGTCTTGGTTTGCCTCAACGTATTCACTGCAATTATTCTGGAGGTGAGATATTGATGATGATGATGATGACGATGATGGTGGTGATGGTGGTGGTGAAGATGATGATGACGATGATGATGATGATGACAACGAGGATGATAATGATGGTGTTGATGGTGATTATAGTGATGATGATGATGAATGTATTGATGATGATGGTTATGTTGATAGTGATGATAGTTGTGGTGATAATGATGATATTGAAGAAGATGATGTTGATGATGATAATAATAATAATAAAAACAATAATAATAGTTACAATGATAATAATAATAGTAATAATAATAATGATAAATAATGATAATGACAATGATAGTAATTATACTGATGATATGATGATGATGATGATAATAGTATTGATATGAAAATGGTGATGCTATAAAAATCCTGCAGGTAAGCTCTGGCATCACAAAGTGCATTGACATCGTCTGTTCAGGGAGAACTATTTTATTAATTGATGGATCTAAACTTTACAAAAGTGTCATGATCTGTTAGAGAATAAATTCTCACTGCCAGTGCTTAAGTCATGAGATCTATAGCACTTGACAAACTCCATGTATTGTGTGGCTTGCTGCAATTGATTACAAATTCTAATCATTGTAAAGTACGATATGTAAATGTTTCAAAACTTATGCCTGTATTTGTGGCAATACAAGATCTTGTTTAGATGCTGCTTTAAAATCCCAAATTGTAATTGGCCATGCTGTTCTAAAGATAAAATCCTTTTTATGAGCCCAACAAGTTTTTTTCTAATATATTCAATGTGTTTTATGATTTAATTTTTGATAAATGATTTTAAAAAATGATAATTAGAGTAGGTGGTTGATAACATAGAGGAAAAAATGTTTTGCCAATTTAAGGAATAAAATATTACTTATTTGGAATTAAAAGTAATTGATGTATGATTGTTTTCCTCCTGTGAAACAGAATTTCATCACATCCTGGGACAGAAGTCAGAAGAGACAGCGGCAATCTTTGGAAGAGGGAAATAGACCGACAGCTTACCTTATGTCTGTACATACAATGTTCAGGTAAGTGAAGTGAGGAAGAGAGAGAAAGGGCAAGAGAGAGAGAGAAGAGAGAAGAGAGAAAGAGGAGGGAAGAGAGAGAGAGAGGGGGGGGGGGGAGGGGTTGGGGTCAAGGAGAGAGAGATAGATCTTTGGAAGAGGGAAATAGACCGACAGCTTACCTTATGTCTGTCCATACAATGTTCAGGTAAGTGAAGTGAGGAAGAGAGAGAAAGGGCAAGAGAGGGAGAGAGAAAGGGGAGGGGAGAGAAGAGAGAGCGAAAGAGAGGGAGGGAGGAGAGAGAGAGGAAGAGGAGAGACACAGAGAGAAGGGCATTAAAGAGTGAGAAAGAGAGAGAGTAAGAGAGAGAGAGAAGGGAGTGGGGAGGTAGAGAGAAATAGTTATGACACCATTGCACTTTCATTGGGCCATCATGGCTGTAGACATTTTCATGCTTGACATCGAAAATGGTTTCTTTTATAACAAATAATTTTTTTCAAAACATTCAAGAGTTATTGTAATTCTTTGGATGAATTGTCAGAACTCAGAAGGACACATATACATGTACATACATGTACTTGGGTCAAATTTTTCTTTTTACAGTTATGTTACGGGAGGATAGAGAAAATGGTAGAGAAAAGCTATGATCTATCGCCATCACTGTCAATTTTGGATGATATATGGACTAAAAGATGTGGATAGATAGTGATCAAAATAATTTATGCTTTAAACTTCTAAAAGAGTGCATCAGCCTTGCCTTACATCCATTACCAAGGATTTGCTTTTGGACCCCAATCAGTGTTAGGTCCTACTCATACACTATTAACCGGTGTGTTGGCTCAGTCAGTAGAGCATCCGCCTCATAACCGGGAGGTCGTGAGTTCGAACCCCGGCCGCGTCATACCAAAAGACGTTAAAAGGCGGGAGTTGCTGCTACCTTGTTTGGCGTTCAACAACAAGGGATAGAGCAACGTCGATCTGGCGCTGCTCAGTGGCTGCCGGGCTCACGATCAATTGGGCAAAAAGAATTCCCATTTTCTGTTTAACTTAATAAAATTTGGAGTGGACTTTAAAAGATTATTATTATTATTTTTATTTTTATTTTTAATCTTACCATTCATTCATTCTTTCAGGGACGATCTTCAGGAGCCGACCGAGAGCGAACTCCTGGATGAGATTTACAAGCATCCCCACATACAAAACCTGCGCTTCTAAGACCATCTCTTGCCACCACTCTGTGAATTCCCTTGCCTACCCGACACTGCGTTTGATAATCATAAACAGCGTATTCTCTAACTGTCACAGAAAACTGGTTAACCAAAGATATAAGAACTGCAGATGGAAGAAGCTAGAAGACTCGCCAATTGTTTTGGATGGTCAGACGATGCTAGAATCTAAAAAAGACAATAAAAAAAACATGCTCCTCGCTCATGTCCCACTACTTGTCCGGAGGTTCTGATGATCGACAACTACTAGTACCAGACCCTAACAAGACATGGATGCGTAACAAGACGTGGAGAAATATTCATGAAATTTGTTACAAAATGCATCATAGCTTGCATTTGTTCAGCAAGTGCCCCTATCATTTCGTAACAACCAAATGCTCCACATCCCTCCTGGGCATTGGTAGTCCATTTGCTACAGGCCATACATGCAAGTGACTTGACGTGGGTGTGAAATTGTAGACTAGTTGACACATGAATTAGAAATGAAAGCTCGGTGTCACACCATGCCTGTAGGTCCAAATGATGCCATCATTGGTTTAACTTGTCTCTGTATCAGTCCAACCTTCCAGAGACTCCCTCCCTGGGTAAAGAACGTCAAGGAACAATCACTGCCTTTATCTTGATCTTACTTGTACATATGCTGTTGACAGTTGGACATTTTATCATGGACATTTCAACCACTCTACCCGATCCCTTGCCCTAGGATAAGGAGCAATATTCGAACAATCGGTGCCTTTCTTTGGACCTTCCATGTCCACATGATGATGCTGATAATGTTTGAAAACTCCTATCATATAGTTTAACATTACACTGATTAATTGATTCTTCCCAAATCCCGTACCCCCGGGTAAGGAGTGGCATTGAACAAGAAATGCTTTACTAAGATATGCGCATAGATGTGCTGCTAGGTAGAACTCCCTCTCACAAACTACAATTTGAAGGCCCAACCTTCGTTCTGTCCTTGATGCAATACGTCACCTGGGTAAGGAGCGGCATCGAACCAGAAATGCTTTACTGAGATATATGCATAGATGTGCTGCTAGGTAGGACTCCCTCTCACAGACTCACAGACAACACCTCACAAGGGTCAGGAAGCAGCAGCAGGTCCTAGATTCAAACACCCATGACCAAACGCACAAATGAAGTCACTTGATTCAGAGTTTTGAGCACAGCCTTTATGCCTAACAGTCCAATTCTCTTCCCAGCAACGGCCAACCTTGCCACAGCCTTTCAAGGAAATCAGGAAAAAGGATGGAGTCGACAGTCATCTCAGGGAGATCTTGTCTTCCGTTGACAGATTCAGAAGGGGGTTTTAATCGCTCTGGGAGATCATGCATGAAGCTCAGAGGAGATATGCTGCATTTCAGATTCCTTTGGCAAGAAATTATGAAGTATGGAATGGAACAAAGCGCCATGCATATCACAGAATTTGTCTTCTGTCAACAGATAAATGCAATTCTATTCTGCATTTATATAGCGCTTCATACATCCACGATGTCTCTAATTACTTTATAGAAATATTATTATCGTTGTCATAGGATTTAGGCTTGTCCACTCACAATGTATACACATTCTCCACTCCCTGTGGAGCATTCTAGCCAGGTGCCATACACAGACTCAGGTGCAAAAGACATTTTGTCTTCGCAAGGAGACAGCTGAGGGGTAACAAGATGTGCTGAATTTCTTGATCCAATCTGCATCAGGTATCAAGGTTTCGAATGTCCAGAAGAACTAGATGAGACAGATGACGGCTTCCAACAAGCAAGGCTCAAGCAGGGAATACTGCATTTCAGATTCCTTGCGCAAGGCTGGCGGGACAAAACTTCAGGTGGGATTCAAACTTGTTTCATAGTTGAGTTTATTTGCATTTCTCTGAAGGAAATTCCACTTTAGAATTGTTTTATATGAATGCACACTGTCAGCTGTTCAATAATTGAGTTTATTTTGATTTAAGAAAAATTTAAGAGAAAATTTCAGATTTGAATGATTTTGTTATTTTTGTTTGGAAGTTCATGGTAAGCCATTTCATAGTTGAGTTATTTTGATTACTTGGAAAAAACTTTCATTTCGGAAGTTGCTTTGTTTAAACTTTCATTGAATTTTTGTTTTCATTTCATATCTTTCAGCTTTCATTTGTTGACTAATAATGATTGGTGTTGAATTTTTTTTTTGTCATGCTTTAAAATTTGCTTTTTCAACATAAATTCAATATTTCCAGTTTACTGAATCAAATCTTGAAAGCATTGAAATTTCGAAGCAAGGGATGCTACGCAGCTACAGAAAAAGGAAAACGGTAGTAAAATAAAAAATTTCACTGTTGAATTTACCATTTTTGCTTGTATTACATATCGTCTGTTTGAATTCAAAAGGGCTTCAACTTGGATACTTTGGACAGAGTTAATAATCTTATGGCTCCAAACAGTTGATATCATGAAATGTTGCTGGTTTTGTTTTAATGCTGCTGAATTCATTGAGTAATGTGACATTCAATATTTTGCCATTTTTTCAATTTCCGGACTGACTAAATCAGCCATAGTTTTCTTGCAAATATTCATTAAATGAACTGCCATTGATAACAGTCGAGTTTGATACTAACCCATTTTAGAGGTGTTGTGGTCCCGTGGACAATTCACCGGACTGTGAACCACAAGGTACAGAGTTCAAATCCCTGCCATAGCTCTGGCGTCCTTTGGCAAGACGTTAATCTACATTTGCCACACTTTACCCAGGTGAGGTAAATGGGTACCTGGTAGGATCATTCCTTGACATGCACTATGGGCTGATAACGGCTGCCTGACCTAAAGCTAGGGTAATACAGTGTACTTTTCAAAGCTCTTTTGAAGCGCATTGGGACATTATAATGTGATATGTGCTATACACGAAAGGATTATTATTATTATTTTATTCCAGTTGTGTCTAAAAAAAAAAAAGAACCAGAAACTGTTGTGTGCATGACAGTTTTATGCTGTGTGATTGAATCACAATTGACCAAACTTGGAATCTTTACAATTTGTGAAGTGAAAGTTACTTGCCATTAAAATGGCTATTGTTTACGAATCATGAAAGATTCCAATTTTATAGCAATATGTAGATATATTATATAATGTTATTTGCATCAACTACATGTATTTATCTATACCGTAATATGTTATATTATTGATACAAATGTTTGATTTAATTTCATATTGCAAATATCTGAGATATTGGTTTTTGTTATAGAAAAAGATTTAAGAAAAAAAACTTGAAGAAAGACCAAAAAAAAAAGAAGGAATTAATTAATCAACCAGTAAGTAAAACACAAGATATGTCTTAAAGATTTTGATTATATATGTGACTAGGCCCCACCAAATAGTGATAGTTTGCCATCGTTTGAAACCAAAAGCTGATTATTTGCTTTATATTCCACATCAGAAACATTTCACTTCTTCCGTCATTTTAGAGCAACAAGTCATTAATTAACAGCTAGCAAACAGTGTACGAAACGTACAGTGTATGCAGTATGGTGGTGTGAATATAGTTTGCGTACTAACACTAAAAGCGCTTAAGAGGAGAGCAATATGCAACGTATACAATTAAAGTGCATTGCACTGTGTAGATAGTACTACTATCTACACAGTGCAACAAACTTTTTTTCTTCTCCCATCAATGATGGGCGCACTATCTTTCATCACGTGATTTACTTTTGACCAATCGTAGAGCAAGATTCTTAGTATGTGGAATATAAACAAGTATAACTCATTAAAGTTTGATGTTCCTAACCCAATTAAAATTGAGGAAAAAAATCCAGTCTTGTAGAATGTTACTTTATAGAAAAGGGTTCAGTCTGGTATTGCTCAAGCACTTTGACCCCCAAGGAGTTGTGAATACAGCCCCAGATAATTTAGTTACATTGCTTTTCAGAACTAGTGGAACTTGGGGAATGAGAGAATAGTTAATAGCTCAAGTATGAAATCTCTTGACTAGGAACACATAATTTGTGGTATATATTTAACAACTAAATTAATCATACCCTTACCAATTACATGTATGTGAAAAATTGATTTGTCCAAATTTATGCTTTTGGAATGTAAAGTTATTTAATAAAGGCCTTAATTCAACCAATCCACCTTTCATTCTTGAGTTACAGAACTCACAAAAAATATCAGGTTTACAAGGGGTATGAATAATTTAGTAAGTTGTTAAATGTATTATTTAAATTAAACTGCCATTCTAATGAACAATCATGTACTACATGTATATTGCCAAATAGTTATTTATGATGTACTTATTTCATTACATGTGTGCGACAACTTGAAGAAAAATTATGCGATTAAAAAACAACAACTTGGTTTCCATGTAATTCCACTCTTCAAATTAGGAGATAACTATTTGTTTTGATCTAATTTCTTTAATTTTGTATTTACAATGTACATGTACATTGAAAACTACAGTAATTGTTTTTTGAAAAAGACTGTGCAATGTCTTGTATTATCATCATGAGTTACTTACAAGACTGTCCAAATTTATGTTTACATATTTACATTTTATCTCTTGTAGAAAATAACAATATTATATATTTATGAATTCTATTTTTTCAGTTTGTTTATACATAATTTTGTGGCTGTTCTTAATATCTATATGTAATACATGTACATGAAGTGATTCAATAGTACTATGCCAGATTTACAGGTCTTGTGTCAAATTTGAAATAATTCTGTTAATTTTTTTTTTGCATTGAATAATTCAGTTGAATGCAATGGAGTTCATTATTTTTGTATTTCAAATGTTCAGTGTACTTGCAAGTTATTGCAAAGAAAATTGATTAAAAGCGTAATCTACATTTTCCATACATACTAATATTGTGACATTGTGTGTATTTATGTTTAATTCAAGATAAACTAACTGCTTGTTGAGTTTTGCTTTATCCATCTGGTTCAATCATATTATGCTTCATAATGTTGTATTAACAGTAATTAAGTAAAAGATCCCCCTTTAAAAAAAAAGGAATTAGGAAAAGATTCAGAAAAAATGATTCAGCTTTTCCTCTTCAAATTGGCAACAGTTTTTTTTGTAATAAATTTTTTGAAGTAGAAAAATCAATTAGAAGTTGCCAGTTTGTACACAAAAATAGTGATTAAACAATTTAACTCTGCACTGCCAATTTACAGACTTCAATCATTATTTTTTATTGTATTGCTCTTAATCGTGACAGCAAATAAAGTACTGCAACAGAAATAGACTCAACTCTTGATTTTTGCATTTTCTGCTCAAGTAATTCAGAGCTTTCTGGATCTCAAGATGAAAATAAAATATCACTTAAAGAGGATTAACTAAACTGTTATTGGTTAAACAGCTTGGACAGAATTAAAGGGATAGTCGAGTTCTGTTTTCAGACCGCAAATGCCTTCAAAATGAATGGTTATTGCTCTTATTCTTATCTATGACATTTCTAGTGCCCTTTTAGAACCCAAAATTGCTATGAAGGTAATTTTAGACCCCACAATGTGTGAAATTTAGCCAATACGAGCATACCAATTCAGCTCCACTTTAAAAAAAACATGGTGACTGTTAATTAATTATCTCTTTAAAAATAACAATACATGGGCCGGCTGGTGGTGCGTACCGGTAATATAAGCAACAAGAAAATGCCAACAAAAAAGCCAAGATCGGCATTGGATGAAATACAACGTAAAAGGCGTTATTTCGTTTTTTCAACGGTTTTTTTCAAATTTTTCAAAATATCTAATATTTGTGGTGGTACACGAGTATTAGAAATAGTTACATTTCAGCCGTCTCTGAACCGATTTTGATCAAACAAAGATGATTTTGTCATTTAAATATTATGTTCTTTCAAATTTGACACTCAGTTTTTCATTATCTCACAAAAAAATCAACTATCCCTTTAAGATATATTTTTTTAATCTTTTGGCTTTGTTTACTGAAATTTCAAAGTTTATGCACTAACAAAAGCCTTTGGTCATGCGTGTACTCCATTTGTTTAATTTGCTTGTTAATTTTTATTTCTGAAGTCAATTTTTTCCTTGACAAATTTTTCCTTCATCCATTTTTCATTCATCCATTTTTCATCCTCAATACAAGAGTATTTTCCCCCTTGCCATTGATAAAATGTTTTGGTGGAACCCCACCCCGACCCCCCCGACCCCCCCCCCCCCCCCCCCCCCCCCCCCCTCTCCATGAAGAATGGAGAGGAGTGGTGTGTTACATATTGGCAACCTCTTCATGAATTCTGACTTGTCTACCTGTAGGTAAAAACATGTATTTGACACTTAAACACGATTCTATGCAGCCTTGAGCGTAGCCTAAATTTGCCAGTCTCTGGCTCTGTCAGGAGCAGCTCCCTTAGAAGATGATGCAGTCTACATAGTCTTACACTCTAGACACTCTGCTACGCGTTACGACTGATAAAGATTTTGAATTTGGATTGATGCACAATTATAAGGATATTCGGGCATCTTGTCCAGAATCATCCAGTTTCTAAGTATTCTGAGCGAGTGAAGTGAACGACCATAGTAAAAAACTAGAAATGCAATCGTGTCGGAACGATGTGCGTGCAATGACGCCGTGTTTCTACGTGTCAAACGAAAGAGCTTCTCTCGGACTATCCAGAGCAATTTGCACGAAGTCTGTAGCTTCTGTGATATTGGAGATAGGTAGGGCGAAAGAAAGGCATCAACAGTGACCTTGATGGGATGGTACTATGCCTACGAAGTTTGAAAGAAATTGGAATAGGGGAAAGAACCTAGAAAGGGCTCGCAAGCACTGCGTGCACAAACCAATGGGATTTGGTGCATGTTTGACATTGCAATCAAGTTCGGGGCCAAAAGCGTGAACCCGATATGCCCCATAGACAATGCGTGTAATGAATGGGCGGAAAACGCGCAGGATCTGTATTATGACCGGAGTTAAATTGTTTTTTCTCTCTCTCTTTACGTCTCTTTATGGGCCGTATTTGGTATCATTAGAAAGAGAATTTCATGGTTGTTATTGTAAATCACTCTCTTTTTTTCTATGATAATCCTATCGAAACACGTGATGTAAAATAGATGTATAGGACAAAATGGCGTCTTAAATGGTCCCCTTGACCAATTTCAAAAATCCGGCCAAGAGGTGCCCTGCGTATTGGAACTCGGCATGTCACTGCAAATTTTCAAGGAAAAAAAAGGACGTTTAAGGGGCGAAAAGCAGTCTGAAAAAATGACGTCATAGCCGAAACGTGTTAGGTTCGGGCGGAATCTCGGCGGAATTCGTGTAGTGATCTTTGTTCAAATGCGATTTACTCACAATTTTCTGTGTGAACATATATAATACTTGGTATCATCCGAAAGGGCACTTCATTGCGGTCAGTTTGACACCATTGTTAACTGCGCGCAATGTATTGCGCGCATTGAACGCGCTATTACGTAATCCATAGTAAATTTATCATTTTTGGCGATAACTTTGCGCTGACATATTCAAATTTTACCAAACTTAGTAAACAGTTGTCACGTATATGGATACATATGTCTGCAAAGTTTCATTGATGTAGGTATAACGATCGCCATTTTAGAGCAAGTTGAAGTTATTTCTCAATTTTCTTGAAAATGGCGAATTTGGAGGGCAATTTTCTCAAATTTGGTCAGTGATAGGGTATATAATTTTGTATATGGCTGGAAAGGGCATATCTTCAAGTATCTAAATCCAAAAAAGGGTACGGGTTTGCCAAGCCATTATGGAGAAACGGCCACAGACAGAAAGCCAATTCCCAGAACTTTAGAGGGCGCTATTTATGTTGTGCAAAGCCATTGCAGCGTGACATTTGGCATGGCTATGTGCAATTATGAGATAAAGATACTGTGAGATTTAAATACAAAACGGAATTTATATGAGAAAGTTATGGCAGTTTTAGATTATTTAGGGGTCCATTTTTCAAGAACTTAAGAGATTTTTGACGGAGTCGGTTTTAGA